GAACTCAGCAGATGTAATACTTGCAACATAATCAGGAAAAGAGCTCTAATCCTCAGCATTGTGGGACATGAAAAGAAATCGGAGTTGAACATTCAGCAGTATGTCAGAAAACAAAAGGTATTCTCATCACACAGGGTTTTTATTAGCATTTCTGCTGATCTTTCTGTAGCTTCTTTAAACAGCTGGGCCAGATTGTTCTGCTGTACATACATATCAACACAAATATTAAAGAATTTATTAAAAGCTTTTGCTAAAGACAGAGAGTGGGTTCCCAGAAATATCTCTTCTATTCCCATCTTTCTCAATCATGGCAGTTATACAGGACTTACTGCATTTGTGTATTTCGTACGTAGATGAGCGTATCTTGTGTGCAACCCAAGCTGAATTACAGGTGAGGTATCCACATGTTAGTTTTGTTAATCTTGGGTAGTTTTTGGCAGTCATCTTTTCCACTACACAAACATGGACACATAATAATAATAGCACCTCCAACAGACCACTACATAGGGAATTTATGGTTAAGACCCATTAGAGATTGTTTCAGGGTCCTACTTCCAGTGTCAAAAAATACTTGAGAAGAGCTTGAATAAAATGCTTAATCTGTTTAAAAGGCATTCTGAAATTCTTACTTACCAGAATGGTGTCAAAAGAAGAATGATTTATGTGAGAAATAAAGTTTGGAAACAATTCTGACAGAGCAGTGATGAGCTTTCTCTATGTAGGCAGCATTATCTACAGTGAAGATGATATCTTTCTCCAAAAAAAAAAAAAAAAAAGAAAAAAAAGGCAAAACTGCAGATAGTCTGCATGACTATCTGAGTTACAGCGCTGCGGGTATTTTTCTAGAAAAAAAAAATTGAATAGATGCATCTTCACATGACTGTGACATCATCAGAATTTGATCAAAATACTTCCAGAGGAGCAATTCCAGTATTAAAGGAATTTCTACCCTAATTTCTCATTTTACTGAAAGTCACTACAGTAGGTGGACTCTAGAGAATGCTTCATGAATACTGTTTTTCTTCCTAGAAATAAGAGAATATGCATTTTAAAGATAGTATGTACAGGTAAGGCATTTCTAGGTTTGTATATCAGTCACATACAAGTAAATGGTCAGCCTTTAACAGCAGAATACTTTGTCTCTGGTCTGTAGTCAGGTCTAATTCAGGCACTCCTTTTATGTTACAATTGATCTCTGGAAGCTATTCAAAATAATCTTGTATATTTTTGAACATCCTAAAGCTTGATTTAACTCTGTTGTTTCAGTTGACATCTTGGGACAGATCGCTTGGTGAAACACTATATTAAAAAGAAAATATCAGACACAATTTTTTAATATTATGATTAAATAATTTTTCTTTAAAAAGGTGATTTTCCCCAATTCTTTGGAATATAATCTGAGACGAAATCTTCTAACCTTTTTCCTAACGTGGTCAGTAGCTCAGGTTTTACTGGAGATTGAAACTGTATTGTACCATGTGTCTCTGACAACACTAATTAGTGCACATTGGGACTTACTATATGTTTGGGGTTGATTGGTATTAGATAGTATAACTGGCTATGCAGAAGCTAACTCAGTAGAGAATTAATTTCTATGGCATTATCCCTATGTAGAATTGAAAGGATTGCCCTGAGTTGGTCTGGTCAGCATGTCTATATGTAGAATTTGCTCCCAGCTGTCAGTCCTTCTTCAGTGGTATTATGTGGGTGTAGACTGCTTTGTCTAAAACTTCATCTGTGCTCACAACCTGTTTTTCCCAACCTTTAAATCAGAATCCAAGACAGTTCCTTTAACTAGCCCTTGTACTGCCTGTGAAGACTGTAGTAATTCCTTTTTAACAAGTACCTCCATTTTAATGTAATTTCCCTTTTTGAAATGAAGCACAACAGTAGTGGATGTTTTGTTTTTGTTGCTCCTGCAAGGACATTAAATCCAAATTTATTATGTTCATTTTACAGAGTAGCTCTTTGACAGAAATATTCAGCATCACATTCAACTCAAGAATACTAAATCCTGGTGGTTATTCCAGAGATAGAGTGAGTCTTCTTTTGGGGGGCTCAGATTAGGCAAAGATTTAGCTTGTAGTATCAGTTCTGCCATCATTCTCTTACCAGACTTTTACATTTAGTAAGGGCACAGGCATGCAGCACATTAGCTCCATAGAGAAGAGTTGCAAGAGCACCTGCTGTCATGAGAACAGTTTTTGAACTCAGGTTGGAAGCAGATTAAGAAATAACAGCAATTCATCAGAGATTATCTATTGATGTGAATTTCACTAAGGGCTCCCACAGAAATTTGCTTTTGAAGTTCAGAAAACACCTGGCTTGGATATCGAAATCAATCCTTCATGAAGGATTTCAGGAAAGTGGAATTGGAACTTACCTCTTAATAGACATGCAGAACTACACATAACCTTACAAAGAATTATTAGGCTGTTCATTTTTTTTTTCCCAAATCTTTGTATAAATTAACATATATTTGCTTCCTATGTTTAAAGAATGCTCTTTTCATCTCCCTCCTTAATAGTTTAAGGAGGTTAAGATGTTAGAGAGGCAAAATGTATGGGCAGCTCTGGATGGATTTATATGTCAAACTTCTGTACACCAAAAATATATTTACATTTTCACAGCAACAACATTGACAAGAACTGATGAAATAAGACCTATGTTTGAGACATCAGACTTTGCAAATTATGTAAAGGTTGGTTATTGCCTGATATACCTCATCTATGCACATGGTTTTACTATATAGTTAATATTTTACTATATGATACACACATACATATGTCTACATTATTTTAGAATGTTAATGTAATCATAAAAGGTGATCTGGTTTAGGAATTGCTGTTCAGAAATGGTTTTTTATTACCTCTAGAATTATGTCATCTGTCTGGCCACCAGTGTCTATATTTGCAGTCGCACTTCAGATTTCACTAGTATCTGGACCATTCATCAGTTTTTCTGCAAGATTTTGTGGAAGGAATCATCCAGCTCCCTGCCTTCAGTCATTTTGGGCACTATTGTGCATCCATCTTGATTAATACAACTGCATTTTCTTCTCTTGTGATTTTCCAAACTGTAAATACTGTTGCCTACAACTTGCCCTGTGCTCAAAGCCTCATTTTCTCAATCTTCAAATCAGAATCCAACACAGTTTCTTTAGAAACTAGGTGGTAAAAAAAAACAAAACAAAACAAAACAACGTGGTGGGATGGAACTCCTTGCTGGCCCACAGCTGACCAAACTCCTATTTAAAAAAATCCAATGTGTCTTGCTCCCAGTCAATGTGTGAATATTACAGGGCAGCAAATGTACCTGCAAGAAGTCACTTGCGTAGTTACAACTCTTGCAAACTACCGTCTTCCTACTATTGTCTCTCAGACTGCAGAATGAACAGTATCAAGGAACAGTAGAATTTTAAAAAGAATGTGATGACATGTAATGTTTACTTACTCTTAAGCCACCATGTTGTGCAAAGTGCAGTTAACCAAGAGTGCCTGAGGCATAACTGCATAGTCAACAGGGAGGAGCCCTGAACTCACTGTTCCACAGTGTGCTGGTTCTCTTTCTATGCTTTGGAGAGCATCGTGTGAGAGATTTTGCTAATTAAAATCCAGGCCCTGCGCCTCTGTTGCTGTCATGGTCAGAATGGCCGTATACAGCCAGGAAGCATGTGAATGGTTATTTGCAGGGCAGTATGCTGTACAACCTTATCACACGAGTCAAGCCTGACTAAATAACTGTAATTGCTGTATTTCTTAGTTACATTAACTCAATCTGACCTTCAAATTGCCTGAGAGCATTTCTGATAATTTTTCTTGATTTCAGAGAGGTCACGTACCTTGCATAAGGATTTTAAGCTTTTAATCTGAATTTCAAGGTATGCTTTAAAACCAACACCTTTGGAAGGATGTCTTTCTGATAGAGCAGGAATAAACATTTGTCCACAAAGAGGGACTTTACATTTCCTGTTTAAACAGTCAGAGAACAAACATTCTACAGACACATTGTAAACAGGCTAATATTTTTATAGTAAATGCAACGCATGTTAGTACAGCACCATTTCCACCTTAAGATTAGCACTTCAGTGCTAGAGCAATTTTTTTTTTTTTTAACTAATATAATACAGCAAATGTAACTCCTGTTAGTATGGCATCATCTCCACTTTCAGATTAGCACTTGAGTGCTGAACCAGTTCTCTTCTGGAAGTAAGACTTCAAGAACTTTGCGTCCTAAATTCATGCATGCAAAAAAGACATTTCCTAGAAGGCAGCACAGGATCAGCTTTGTTTGTTGGGAAAATTCTTGCAAGGCGGGAGATTTCATTGAAGCAATCCTTGCTTTACAAGTCACTCATGTCTACATCACCACCGGTGCCCACTCTGCTGCTTCTGAAGTCTCATCGCCTCCGAACTTAAGCTTTGCAGCAAAGCCCTGTCTTTCTTCAGAGGCGGGGGAAAGAGGGCTCTGCTTTGGCTATGTCCTTAGCCTGCTCCGTCATGGAAAAACGAGCAGCCGCCTCGCCCCACCGCGCCCCCCCCCCCCCCCCCCCCCCCCCCCCACCTTTTTCTAAGGGGCATAACAGCCTTTCCTGCGCCTGAGCGTGGTAACGGGGGCAGGCGGGGAGCTGCGGAGCGGCCGGTGCCCGCGGAGGGCCCCCGCCAGCAGGAGCAAGAGCAAGAGCAGGAGGAAGAACAGGAGCGGGAGGAGGACCAGGAGCAAGAGCAGGAGGAGGAGGAGCAGGAGCAAGAGCAGGAGGAGGAGGAGCAGGAGGAAGAGGAGCAAGAGGAGAAAGAGCAAGAGGAGCACGAGCACGAGCAGCCGCCCCGGCTCGCGCCCGCGCGCGGCTGACCGCGCAGCCCCGCGCGCACGGGCTCGCGGCTCGCCCCCGCCGCCCGCCAAGGGCAGCAGCGCGCGCAGGGGCCGCGGCGGAAACGCCCGCCTCCCGCCCCGGCGCACGCGCGCGGCCGGGCTCCGCCCTCTCTCTCCCTCCCTCCCTGCCGGCCGCGGCTCCTCCCCGCACCGCCCTCGGCCGAGGCGCAGCTCCCCGGCGGCAGCGGCGCCGATCGCGTCGAGCATCTGCGGGGAAGGCGCGTTGTCTTTCCGCTTCTGTCTGCCGCCGCGGCCATGGAGCTGCCCGAGAGCCAGTGCAAGAAAGTGAAGCTGAGCAACAGGGTGCCGAGCTGGGTGAGCTGGGGGAGCGGGCCAGGCGGCGGGGAGGGAAGGGAAGAAGCGGCCGGGCTCGGTGGTGATGTGGCAGTGGGCGGCAGTGGGAGCCGGGACGGGGAAGGTCCCCGCCGGGGCGGGGCGGGGAGGGATGCGGGCCCGAGGGCACGCGCGGGCGGCAGTTGCCAGCGCGCGGGGCGCCGCGAGCCGGGAACGTTAACGGAACGGGCGCGCGGGGCTCCCTGAGGCGACCCCGGGGGGCTGCCAGCGGGGGAAGGCGGGAGGCGCCCCCGGACTGGACCCGGGGTTTGGGCGGTTTCCTCCCTGCCTCTTCCGTCGTGAGCCTTCGGCTTCCAGCGTTTTGGGAAGAAGGAGGACTTCAGAATGCGATGTACAATGCGGCCATTCATAAACCTGGGCCGGCCAAAGACTGAGGTTCTTTGTATGGTGGGTGTGATGTGGAAAACTGTCGAGACGGGGTTTAAAAAAAAAAAATCTAACCAAAGCCTTCATTCTTGTTTATAAAGATGGGGGAAGATCGCTTTACAGTGAAGACCAAAATGCAGCTATTTAGAAGACACATTGCAGCCCTTTGAGAACATTTGATACTTTTGATGATTTAAGAGAAATGGGGGGGGGGGGAAGGGGAAGTATGATTTCTTTTAAACAGTGCTGAGCTGAAGCAGATGAGATAAGATCCAGACAACATTTGATATGAAAGTAACAGTGTAAAAGAGTCTTTGAAGTCTTGCTGTGGGTAGTACAGGTCACAACTTCATTGTTAAAATGACAAATCTATTAAAGAAGAAGAGAGTCTCATGGTTGCCTGAAAAACGGGGAGGTTGGTATTGTATTAAAGAGCATTCAGTAGATGCTGTGCCTGCCAAAGCCTCTTCCACTGTGTACAAGTTCAAACTTGTTTACATAAGAGTAACTGGTAAGTTACATTGTTTAAATTTCTATGAGGAAAAGGCAAAATTGGAATTTACCAAGATAGTGAAATAGATCATGTCTGGTGGGTGTAACAAAGTGTATTCAAAAGTTACTCTGTATCATTTAACTTGTCAGAAGCAAAACCAAGATGGATTTGTCCTAACCAGGGAGATCCTAAATTAAAAAAAAGTTAACTGACGTTAAGTGTTTGCTGAGTTCAGCTGAGGTTAGCAACCCCCTCTATGTTACGTGGCAGGCAGAGGAAGTTTTCCGCTTCCCCTTCTTTCTTCAGAAGACCTCAGATGAAGTGCTCTTTCTAACCCAATAAGCTTCACCAGGAACAAAAATGTTGCTGATTCACATGCTCCACACACAAATGTTCTGGTACTTCTGATTCCGTGTCTGTTCAGCTGAGAGCAAAGTCAAAGAGACTTCTTATACCTCGATGGAATCGACAGCCTCTAGCAGGGTAGGCAGAGCCTTGTCTTCCAAACATTCTCTGGGCATCCAACACTATTCAAAATACACCTCTGCCTGTGGAGATCCCTTCGCCAGGCCCATCTCATCACAGCAAACTCCAGGTTACCTAGCACCACCCAACAGAGCCACAAATACTGCTACTACACTGGGTAGGAAGACTTGGGGAACACTTTCTTTAGTGTAGCTCGAATTTCTAACATGTTTGAGGTGTTGCATTATTTTTCAGGTGAATTCTAATGAGAACTTGCTCTAGCTCTTGTTTCTGAGAGTATTTTCAGTGGAGACATTTCTGGCTTCATTTTTGTCTATTCCCTCTGATGCCAGCCAATGACTGTGTTCCAACATTGGTGCATAAACTGACCCTGCTTTTGGTCGTGCTGTTACTGCAGCAGGTGACAAGTGAAGATACACTCCTTATAGTACAGTTATTACTGAGTTGCTTGTATCCACAGTACTGTAGAAGATTCTGGCTGTTTTCTGTTGCTGTGATTTTTGAAATTGTCTCAGCATTAGAACATCTGGCAAAGATAAGCAAATCTGTGTAAGTGACAGGAGAGCATGCATTTGACAGATTGGGTGGTGCTATATGTGAAGGTGTTTAGATGCCTTATTGTATCAGTATCACTGTGCCAAACTGTGTTCTGGAGGGCAATTTTGAGGATAAAAGTAACAATTTTTATTGTAAGTGGGAGAAAATGTAATGAAATGGCAGAATATGGATTGGTGAATTGTTAGGTTTTTAATAACTGTAAGACATCTTATTGTTCAGTTATCATTTTTGGGCTTGCCTTCTTCATCAACCACAGTTGTCCTAATCAAAGTACAAATTTTCAAACTAGAATTTGAGAAAGTAGCTATTGGAAGGCATGCCTGGCAGATCTTATGGTGAACAGGTCCTGAAACCTCATCTAAATATGTGATCAAATAGAATCTCGGGGCAAGTGCTCCTCTTTTAACATTTGCGACAGTAAAATTTTTGTTGGAACTGTGTCTATTCTCCTTGCTTTGTAAGCAGACAAAGAAAATGAACAGTGTTCAGTCCATTTGAGTTGTTTTGCTATTGAGAAGAGCAGTTTGGAGGGAAAAAAACCCTGCCATTTGGTTATAAGTGCTGAAGAAGAAATGTCATAAAAATGTGTTGTTACTGTGGTATTGCTGGCTTATAGGAGGCACATGGTGAACAACCTGGCAAATGACCTAGAAAGTACCAAAGATCATCGGGAAATGGGAAAGGCATTAAAGCTAAGACTATATTTCAGAGGTGATGCTGGATGTGTTGCTGTTGCTAGCTTATGGGAGTTGTTAGGTATCAACACTGTCATCTTAGAGCAGAAGAATATGGAATTAGTCACAGCTTCTTGAGTGTGTATGGTTTGTATAGAAACCATGCATGTTCTTTACACAGTTCTTTCCTGATGCTTCCAAGCTCAAAGCTGTTTCAAGTTATTGCTGTACCTTAGGGAGTCTCTGCTTGCCATCGAAAGCTTTACTCCTACCCCAGAGGATCTTGCTTTGTGAAAAGATAAAATTTGGTGTAAAGTGATTGTAGAAGCACAGTGTTTCATTGTTGTTCGGAAGTAATGAAGAATAAATGCAGTTTATGACAGTGTAGAGATCTGTCTGTTAACAATGAAGCAATAAGCTTTTCTTTTTGCTCTCTGTGATCTTGGCATTGCAACTTGGGTTTGCTCTTCTTCATCTGGATGTCTGATCTGAGTTCTTATGTCAAAGGTGTTTGGCACTGATAGTCAGATTTGGCTTTGGCAAAAAAAAAAATATAGTTGCAACTGGGCAAAACATCAAGATAAGAATAAGATAAGAAAGGAAAATGAGTCGAGACTATCTTGGCAAATCTTTACATAGAGAAAGCGATAGAGTTAGTATTTCCTTTTGATGTCCATCTTTCTTCTGTTCCTATCGTTCTTAGATGTCTGTATTCATTTCCCCAGTCAACTACCTGAAAAGCTAAAAGGTTACCTTTATGCCAAAAAACGTAAGCTGCAGTGTCATCTTTTCTTGCTGTCTTATCATTACAGCTCTGCAGTGCACATCTGTGAAAGGGTTGTTACTTTAATACTCCAATTTTTTTATCTTCTGTACAAAGATATTAGCTTATTATGGCACTTCAGATTTCACGTGAGAAACAAACTAGCACAGTGGGGGAGAAGAAAAGAAGGATATGTTTACCTTCTCATTTGACATTATAGTTAGAATGAAACACAGTGGACTGGAGCATAATTTCTATTTAACATGGTGAGTAGGAGGGAAAATATTAAAATGTAGTGTTTGTATAAGTAGCGCAGAAGCAGTTAATGTGTAATGTGGGATGGAAGAAATATTTTTGTGGGTGAGTCAGGCAATTTCTGATGGTTGTAAAAAAAGCAGATAAATAGACCTTTGACATTTTTTTTCATTAGCCTTTTTACAAAAATCTAGTGTGTCCTTTCAGTAGTGGCTATTATAGTGAATGTAATTAGGTTAAGAAGTTTAAAATAGCTTTTTTTAAAGGAGTACTTGCTAATCACAATGAGGTTTTGATAGTCATTTTCTTATGTTTCATTTCTTTTAACATTTGTAATACGGATCTCCAGGCCAAGTGATGCTTTGATATAGTATAGAAGGAAATGACTGTACTTTTATTTCTGCTATCATTTTGGATGGCCATTTAATTTCAACAATTGATACTCATCAGCTGTTATGTACAGGAATTTGAAGACTGGCTAAATAATTTAAAAGCACAGCCAATGGAGCCACTGATTCCTGCTCCTGAGTATTTTTCTGTGCCACATCAATATCTGTAGTAAGTGAATGTATTGGAGATAGTAAAGAGAAACTTGTATTGTTGAGGATCCATTGTTCAGCTTTTGTTGCTCGGTGGTAGTGAATCAGCTAGCAGCAAAGTGTATGTGATTAGGAAACATTACTAGGTTTCTTTGCAGCAAGAGAGAATGACTTGCTAAATTATTAACTCTTCAGAGCACCTCTATAAAAAGCTGTTTTCTCTTGGAAGGAGGATATTGCTACTGCTTTGTCCAGGAGTAGTACTGAGCTATCTTGCTTGTGTGCACACGCACATAAACAAAAGCTGGGGCTGCTGGGGATGGGTGTGTTTTTCATTGCATTCAGACTGTTTGGGCACTTTGACCTTTAGTCTTAGGTTCCTGCTTTTGAAGTACAGATGGATTATTGTCCCACGGCTGACTCGCTGGCTGCTCTGTTGCACTTATGTGCCTTGTATTCTAGCAAGCTGTTGGCCTTCTCACTGCTGTGATTTGTAATCTCTGCTAATTCGTTACTTGATACTCTTTTTTTCGTTTTAAAAGTTGTCTCTTTGTCATAGTTTTAAGAGTCCCTCTTGTCTGCTTCCTCAGGGTTTCATGTGTTTTGTTAAGCCTAGTGCAATACTCTGATCAGATTCCTTGCTGCTTTACTAGTTCTGGAAAACAAAGAAAATTGTAACTTACTGAATACAGACTGGAAGAAGTCTTCTTGGATGAGACATTTGACCTCCAAAGTATTTGAGTCTGATATTTGACTCGTAGCCAGGAGCCAAAATCAAAACGTGTGTTTTTACGTTTTAATATAAAAAAGCTTATTGAGACAGTGGTGTGGAAGCTGTGCTTTGAGGCTGTCCTGTTTATCCAGTGCCTGGTACAATACAGTATAACTGGAATTAATGAGAAAGAATGTTGCTATTAATGTATTATTTGAATTGCTATGTACATTCATTATGCACAGTATATATTTCTTTAAATTGAAAGCTAAATACTAAATTATTTTTGTTGTTTTTTAATGCCACAATTCATGCTTGCTGAGATCTCCAGTTTTATGTAGTACATAATTGTTTCTACTATAAGAAAAAAGACTTTTAAAGTTTTTGATTATTTGACTTCTGGTTTTAGTTAGCTGCATTGCACTGACTCCATGTGCAAAACAGCTTTGTTTTAGGAGGCAAATTATTTGAAGATAACACAATCAGCAAGTATAATTTTATTTTGTATGGTTATAATGTGTTTGCAGGTGGTAGTTTCTTATGGATCGGTATTCAGACTTCATCTAATTTTAGATGCTGGACTGTCACCACTGAATTAGAGTCGTATTTAAAAATTTGAACATCTGTTCCTACCTTGAGTTTCTGTTTGTATTAACTATGAGTCCAGCTGTGTATGGAAGTGGGGACATATAATCACACAAATCATAACTTCCCAATAAGGTACAGATAACCTTGATAAGTCGTCTTCTACAGAAGAATGATGTATCAGCAGTTCTTGAAGCCACAAGTAGATGCCATTTTTCTGTTAACCCTACTTTTTGGTGTTTCTCTCTAAACTATGAATAGCTCTGTTAGTACCTTGTAGATGAATGTCTTCCCTTCTCTCTTTTATATTAAATGTCATAAGTGCTTTCCTTTCCAGGTAGCACTGATACAATGATGAAAGAGAAGATAGTGCAAGCATGTTGTGATAAGTTTGTAAGCAAGAGAAATTAAAGCAGCATTACATATATCACTAACCTATCACTAATATCTCCCTTCCCCCCAACCCTCCTTTTTTTTTTTTTCCTTTTAAGCCTTCTTTACTGTTTGATTGTTCATCCTCTGTCTGGTTATCTAAGGTCTTGATCTTTTATGAACAAAGTTCATATAACTAGATACTATTAAAACTTCAGGGAATGCTGAGGCTGATCTTCCTCGCCTTAGATTGTAAAATGTGTTTGACAACAGTGTCATCTTACTTAAGATATTTGTATAGCAGCTTATTATGATGAATAAATGGTTTTAAGAAAGTTTGTAACCAGCTTTGTTTTAATGAAAATGATATTAACAAAAATCCCATCTTATTAAAGAATTTACTTTAAAAGTCACTTGGAAATAGTACTTTCTTTAAGCATTCAGAATATATAACAGTCTCAGTTCTGGAGACCGAAGACACAATAAGTAAAGGCAGAGTGGTTTGGACATGTGTCTGCTGAACTGAACGTTGTACCATACATGTATAGTTTGCAATGAAAAAGCCTCTTAAGAATTAAAAATGAGCAAATGTGTGGCTGTTTTATGACAGAAACCTTTAGCTCAGAGAGAGGCAATCAATTTGATATTCTTAGATTTAAATTATTTTAATAGAAGTCCAGTCTAGCAGTTCATCTCTATTTTTGTAGCTGATTTTTCCTTAAATATGTTGTATTTGAAAGTGGCAGTTGATTAACCTGGCAATCCCAATTCTCACAGAAGGAGCAAAAAGGATGTGGTTTGCTATGAGTAGCTTTTCTAATTTCCTTTGTGTCCTTTGAACTGTGATGCAGCTGATGGATTGGGTATTATTTTTACTTCCATAAGATAAAAACAAGACTTTACTTCCAGAGTCTATCTCCAAGTCTTTCTGCCTGTGAATAAGTTTTAGTATGCTTTGCCAGCTCACACTTTCACAAGGTAAAGACGTAACCAACTTCTTCCTTTACAGGGAATGCAGAGGGCAACCAATGTTACCTACCAAGCTCATCATGTCAGCAGGAATAAGAGAGGCCAAGTGGTAGGAACAAGAAGTGGGTTTCGTGGATGCACAGTCTGGTTAACAGGTACGGTCACAGATTTCTGAGGATCCTTTTGTAGTTACTTTTCTGAAAAGCTACTTAGGTGTAGCTCCATTTTTCATGCAAAGTTGAATGTTTGTGGAATTTAAGACCTCAATGAAGTTTAATTACTATTTTTAAGTAGACTAGTAAGAAATTTCTCTGGGACAGATAGTAACTTGAGAATGTGTTTTTTTGGGTGCTCTAGGATCATTGTTTATTTGGCACTGTCCACTGCTTAATTCCAGTTGAGTTTTAGAGTCTGGATTTGGGTTTTTCTTGTGTTTTAATCAATTCTGGCACTTAATGTCCATTTAACCTATTAACAAATGAAACTTAAATTTTAGTCCGTGTTTCTGAATCTTTTCTGTAAAGGTCTCTTTTTGGAACATTCTTGTCTCCTTGGGTTGAAATAACATTTCAACATAAAACTATGCCTTTGGACAGAAATTGCACGTTGAGGCAATGCATACTGGGGGTTATTTTTTAAATCAGCACCATGTGTTTTTTTCAGTGAATTGTTTTGATTATAAGAAGAGGGGGTAGGTAAATTCTGGAAGACATCTTTGTTTCATAACTGTAAGAGGATTTTTTTTTGTTCAGTTTTTCAAAGTTTTTGGGAGCTTTAAGATATTTCCTTTGGAGGTTTTTTTTTGTTTGTTTGTTTTCTTTTTTTTTTAAAAAAACCCTGAAAATAAAAAAAATAAATATAACAGAATGTGTTATTTAATTAGTTTGTAAATGTAGACCAATGTTGTATTGTGATACAAAAGACCTTCATGAAGTATTAGAAGAACTTACTACACTAAGTAAGATTTGTTCCCACTTAGTGTTAAGGAACATGTGTAAAAGGTAAAGCAGTGGTTGCTAATGAATTGTGGAGAGCCATTCCAAACAGATTTGATACCGTAGCTTGCTGTCATGTATTTCTTTGGTAAAAGAATGGAACCCTTTCTCTTCCTATTCTGTCATGTAGCTCTAGCCTGTCTCTCAATGCTGGAATGATCTGGTAGGCTGCTTTTCTGTTTCTCCTTGTAATTCATTAATATCCTTTTGAAAAAGGTCATAATAAAAAATATTTTCTTTGTTACCTACATGGCAACATTTACTAGTTGTTGTGGTTTAAACCCAGAGGACAACTGAGCACCATGTGGCTGCTCGCTCATTCCTTCTCCCTCAGGGATGGGGAGGAGAAAATAAAACAAAATAAAACAAAAGGCCCGAGGACTGAGACAAGGACAGGGAGGGATGACTCACCCATTATGGTCACAGGCAAAAGACATGCTCCTTAGGGGAAGAAAAAAAAGAACATCAATTTAATTTTCACCACCACCACTTAATTTCCAAACAGAATAGGACAGTGAGAATTACAACCATATCTTAAAAACACCTCCCCCCACCCCTGTCTTCTTTCTGGGCTCAGCTTTGCTCCTGATTTCTCTACCTCCCCCCCCCCAGCAGTGCAGAGAGGTGGGGAACGGGGCTTGTGGTCAGTTCATCAAGTGTTGTTTCTGCTGCTCCTTCCTCCTCAGGGACCTTACACCCTTCCCATGCTTCAGTGTGGGGTCCCTCTCACAGGAGGCAGTCCTCCACAAACTTTCTCCAATATGAGTCCTTCCCATGGGCTGCAGCTTTTCATGATCTGCACCAATGTGGGTTCTTCCCACAGGCTGCAATCTTCCCAGCAAAAGACTTGTGCCAGTGCAGGCTTCCCTTGGTCCCGGCCTTCTTTGGGTGCAGCCACCTGCTCTGGCATGGGGTCCTCCACATGCTGCAGGTGGGCATCTGCTCTGCCATGGACCTCCACGGCTGCAGGGGCACAGCCTGCCCTCTCACCATGGGCTGCAGGGGGGTCTCCGCTCCAGCACACCTCCCTGCTTCCTCCTCTGTCAAGTGACCTTGGCGTTTGCATAGGTATTTCCCTCACAAATCCTCCATCTCCCAGGTTCCCCTTCTTAAATCCATTATCGCAGAGGCACAGCCACTATGGTTAATTGTCTTGGCCCTGGCCAGAGTCAAGTCCGACTTGGAGCTTGAAAAGTTTCTTACAGAGGCCACCTCTGTAGCCCCTCCCCCACTACCAAAACACTGCTACACACAAACCAATCATCATCCTTTTTAAACAGATGTAATCTTAATGCCCAACTTTTTTTTTTTTCAGGAGGAAGAAGGGTGGTGGTAGAATGCAGAAAAGTAGGAAGGCTCTAAGGTATTAAGAAGAGCGTGTCATGCAAGTTAGGCTACTGAAGATGTTTGAGCACTAATGTTAGGGAGTGAAATGGACTGTAGATATTGAAGTAAACAATGTTACCCATTCTAGAACTGTACAAACACAAGTCTTCAAAACTCTGCTATGTTTTAGAATAAAAGCTGAAACAGGGGTATACTCCCTTCAAGATTATCTCACCTCATCAGCACTCATGGAGTGGGAGTGCACAGAAAGTTATTTCAGAGATCACTTTTCATTTTTAAGTGAAGATTTGAGCGCTAAATTCTAATTAATATCTTGTGCTGTTGAGTCAGAGGGTCCTAGTAAAAAAATCCCTGAGGAAAGAATCAAAAAATAGGGAAAAGCGTTACTTTCATGTGTAAAATAATATGCAATTTTGAGAGTGTAAGTTATTTTAAAGACTTGTCAGCTCAAAAGCTGTTTTTAGAATTCATTATTAGATAACATTAAGTTTTGTGTTTCATTACACATTGTAGACCAAATGATGTGTGAAAAGCTAGAGCATTTGAGTGAATAGCAAGCTTGATGTGGGGACAAAAATTACAAGTCAAAGACTGCATCAATAAGTAGTAAATGACGAAGTTGGTAAAATCTTAATTTGGACTGCCATGCTTATTTTCTGGGATGGGGGTGTACTTAATTGCTGCCAGAAGAAGAGTGTTCTATTTCCAGCCTTGCTTTCATTCTCTTGCCTTGCATGAGCTGTAGTGCTTACCAGCCCCACCTTGAGCTGACTCAACTTGATAAATCACCAGTGAACTTAACACAACCACTCCACACACACAAAAAGGAAAAAAAGGTGGGGGGAAGGGAGGGAAGAAAAAATGGTTATCAAAGAGTTGATTAATGGGCACCAGAGGTGGTGGAATAACAGAGGTAGGATGGTGTGACTGGAGAGAGATCAGGACCTCCCCTTTTGAAAGCTGGTTCTGGCCTAGGTCATAACTTTCAGCTTCATCATGTAGAGCTGTTGCTCTTTTCAGAGTAGACAGGTAAACATAGATACAAGGAACTTGAGCTGTCCAAGAAAATGTAGGTAACTTTTATAAATGATGATAGGTCACTATTCACAACTCTGCAGATTTTTTTAGAGTTTTGAGTATGAGCAAAACCCTACTGAAATCTGAGAGATGGATGTGTGAGGCTCTTGAGAGGTGTTGGCTTAAGTTCTTACGTAGGACTTGTCCTAAGATACACATATTCTTACGTTTTCAGTAGACTGCTCTGCATCTTATGGATATTAGATTGAGTGAAGGAGGAACCAATGTAATGACTCCTCTTTAAATTGCCTTAAACTATTGCAGTTGTCCAGGTTTCCTTTGCATTTTGTGTTTTCTTAGAACATGCTTGTTGGCATGATTGTCATCCTTTGCTGTAAAGGTCTTAGAAGTAATACCTAACGGCAGTTTTGTGTGATTTTTTTTTTTTTTTTTTTTTTTTTTTTGCTTCTTTCTCTGAAAGCTAGAATAAATCTTAACTACCACTAATAAAGAGCAAAACGTTTTTCTTCACTCATTAGTGCTATTTTTTTAAACTACCATTACTTTTTTGTTTGTTTGTTCTTACTCAAAGGATTACTGTCATCTTATGAAGATTTAAGTTTGTGTCCCATTTAGGCATTGATTGCTCTCTATAAGCTGAAGCATGTACTCCAGATAAACTCCTGAAATATAGTCTGTAAAATTATTTAAATACATTTCCAACTTAAAGCAAACAGTAGACTTTTCAGTGCCAGCAAGACTTCACAATTGTTTAAAGGTTTGTTGCTGAAGATTCTGAACTGGACCAAAGTTTAATATTAAAATTGTCTTTGCTTGTTGTCAACACATGCTGGTTAGTGGAGCATGACTGCTGTGTGTGAATCTTGTGTGAGTTTTGTTGTATCTATGGTATTTAATTCAATGCTGTTACTCTGCAAGGAGTAAGAACAGTGTGTTGTTTGGTCTGATCCCATTTCTTTTGCTGACCGAAATTCACTTCTCTGTGAGATCGTTTTCTTCTGATGTAAATGTAACACCTTAACTCGGTGTTGGGCTTCTGAATTTAGTTTGCTCAGGTAGTAACAACTGCTAGCAGCAGCCCTGGGCAATGTGTACCACCTCAGTAAGTGTCAGCTGCTCTCAAGGCCAAACTCTCTTATCTGCTTCTAATTGCATACTTCACTTTGTGCCTTACTCTGCTTATATCTATTGTTTGTGTAAAAGGCACTGGGTGTATATTGCAGGTAAGCATCTCTGAAAGCCACTGCTGCTGATGCTTGTCACTTTGGGTTTTTCATACCAGCAGTGATATGTGTACTACAATTTGCCCTAACTTGTTTCTTTGCTTATGTATTTATTTTATTATTGAATATTCTAGGTCTATCTGGTGCTGGGAAGACTACAGTGAGCATGGCACTGGAGGAGTATTTAGTATGCCATGGCATTCCATGCTACACATTAGATGGTGACAATATTCGCCAAGGCCTTAATAAGAATCTGGGTTTCACACCAGAAGATAGAGAAGAAAATGTCCGTCGTATTGCTGAGGTTGCTAAGCTGTTTGCAGATGCTGGTTTGGTGTGCATTACTAGTTTCATCTCTCCTTATACTCAGGTAAATGCAAAAACTTTCTAGATAAAGTGAAGATAAAAGGTCACTCAGAATTTTAGTTACAGGAAACCCTCTCTAAACTTAGCCAGAACTAAATGCTTACTTTTTTTTTTTGTTTTGGTTTGTTTTGTTTGGTTTTTTTTTTTTTTTTTTTTTTTTTTGACAAATGCTTTTTAGAGATGATTACTTAAATTTTAAAAACATTAATCTTAACTATTAAAAAAGTTTGTTAATCCTATAACTGGAACTGTCCTTCAGTCTAATAGGCAGAATTATTAATCTGATATTAAGAACAAACCCAAATGATACTCCAAGAAAGTCTTAAAATGACAATATCTTGTTTGATCCATGTAGATTCCAGTATTTTATAAATATGAAGACTAGGTATGCACTTAATCTGAAGGCTCAAATTGTTTTTAAAAGCAACTTTGTCTTCAGTGAATGAATGGTATGAGCTATATTTTACCAAGTGGCTTAAAAGAAGAATATATAATTGCCATAGTTCTTTTTACTTTATTTCATGCTGTGTGTACAACATGATGTTAGATAATATGGAAAATTAAACTAAATCCATGTTCACATTGTTTTGTGAAGACTTTTTTCATCTGTGTATGAGAACACAGATGGGAGAGACAAAAAGGATATGTGAACACTGAGTATCTTGAAGAACGACTGAGGGACTGTAGCTTAGATGTTTCACAGGATGAGAGGGTGTTATTTCTTCAGTTATAGTGGTACAAATAGTTCTTTTGATAATGTATTGGGGAACTCAAGAACTTGCAGTAAAACGAAGTCTTCATATAAGAGGAAAAATAACCATACTTAGTGAGAGATGGGTTTAGTGGGTTTTTTGAAAATTTTTTTGTTCACTAAATGAAATTTACCAGTTGTTTCAATGCTCGACAAGCCATACAAATAAAATAATATTTGGAGTATACCAGTCTTGTCTGATTAAAGAATGTAGAGAAATTTGGTGCTCTGGGGAGAAGGGTGGTTGTATCAGGAGCAGCAGATAATACCTCCTCTGACTACAGGGTGTGAGACAGATGTAACTGTTGGGGATATAGCTCCTAAGATAAGGGCAGGTATAGAAAATTCTTCACTTTATACCTGGTTTTGTTTTGTTTTTATAAATCAGGTTAATGTAAAATATCTCAGATTTTCACGTCAGCTTTTACCGTGTGATGAACTGTAGCCAAACTGATGTAGCTTGCAGGGCATCAGTTGATCAAACCATATTTCTTGTTTCAAACTTTGAAAACTTGTTTACATTTTACTATCAGCTTCTTTGAAATGAACCTTGAAAGCAGAAAGACATTAACAATATGTGGGTGCTATCTTTTAGAGTTTTTTCTGTTTTCTTTCAGGATCGTAATAATGCCAGACGAATTCATGAAGGGGCAAGTTTGCCTTTTTTTGAAGTATTTGTGGATGCTCCATTGCACGTCTGTGAGCAGAGAGATGTTAAAGGACTCTATAAGAAAGCCAGGGCTGGAGAAATTAAAGGTGAACCTAGATGTGGTCACATCCTCTCTACCTAGGTGAAACATAGGTGTAATTTGACTCCACATAAGTGGACGTGCTCAAGTCTGTTAGTCTGCCACCCTTAAAAGCAGCATGGACTGGAGACAGGACTGAGCAGACTTCTAGCTTGTGCGACTGACTAGTTAAATGCATAGGGCAGTAAAGGGCAAAAGTGGCTCTCCTCACACCAAAAAACCTTGAGCAGAGTACATGGTTTCTATTTGCAAATTCTTATAATTGAGGATTAGTCTCCTTTGTGTGTCCATTGACTAATTAAAAAAGAGCCTGGTTCTCTCTCAAGTCTATAAAGAAATGCATTAATAAGAGCTCCTAACTTCTTCCAAAAAGCATGTTCACTATCTTTCTGTGAAGACCATTAAGATCACTTCTGAAGAGTCTAACTTTTATTTTGAAATTAGGGTTCTGAGCTGATGCCCATAAAAATTATTTCCTATAGCCAGCCCCAGATCAAGACTTAAGTACATCCTGCAATAAAAAAAGCTTAAATATGTGATCACTCATTGCAGATATTGTTTCGAGTGCTTCTTTGCTCTGTGTTACAGTTAGCAGAGGTTAACAATAATACTCTTCTACCCATATTAAGAAGAAAAGCACTTTTTAAAGTAATCACTTTCAGGGACTGAGTTTGCAGATGCCATAATGATGAACTCACCATTAATCAAAAGTGATATAAAAGTCAAGAAGTCTAAGACATTCCATGTTATTGGTTGCTTGATTCTTCTAGTACTACCAAATGTATCACGTGAAGATGAGGAATAAATAAGGCTGAACTCAGGTTTGCTTAGAATCAAAGCAAGATAAATTGAGATGGCATGATACAAAGATATAGTTGTGTGCAGAATCCTTATTCGTGCTGTAAAACTTCCTCAATATTTTGTTAATTTTAAAAGTCCCATGATGGAATTGGGTTACTTCAGAAATAGTAGTGAGCTATGAAGTGCCTGAGTAAGCTACAAGGGGGTCTAGCAGTAGCTGTATCTTATGACATGTCTGATATATGAAGGAGGAAAATAAGATGAATTTGCCTGTTAACAAGGAATGTTAGCAACTGTTAACTTCTATTTTCTCTGGCAACGGTAATGGGACACTTTGCCCCTTATCCCCATTCCTTCAATAATCAGATATTTACAAAGTATATGGTTTTTGGAACATATACTGGCCTTTCTTTATTACATAGGGTACTGCAACAATTGATCTTTTTCTTAGATGGTGAATGAAGCTACTAATTTTGAGTATTTAAGTCTAAAGTGAAAAACTCAAGTTTTAATGCTTGTGTGTTCAATTGTAAAGGATGTAGATGTTCAATTGCTGTAATTCAGCTGATACTTCTGCTGCAGATCTGACTTGTAGTGCTTGCATGCTTTGCCTTTGGACTTGATTTTTTTCTTGTTTATGCATGGTCAGTCAGAATCTCCTCTGTTTCAAAGCAGATTGCTAGCTAAGAAGGCCAGAACCAGTGTCACTAGTAGCTTCTACAGTCTGTGACAATAGTTATTATAACTATGATAAACGTACACATCTACTTACATTAACAGTTATCTTAAGATGGGTATAATAGCTAAACTAATGTAATAGGTGTTGGGATTTCTTACTCTTCAGAGTACTGCTCGGTGGCATGAGTGTAAACATATATATACTGGTTGTTCAACATCAGGCTTTGTGTTCAAAAAAACCCCAACAATCACAGCTAAGAATGAAGGACAGCTAATGAATGACTATCTCCATGTCAATGTGTACAGTTCTTCTGCCAGTGCTCCTTTCTTTATTCACAGTATAAATCAAATAACTTCACCAATAAAAGGTGCTAGGTATATGTTATAGAATGCTGGTTTGATGCAGTCATGTAGGATTAACAGGTGGTCTGATAAAAAACCTCTTGATTTCCCTAAGAAACCTGTATTAAAGAAGATTAAACTCTATCATCTTGCCTGTTTTGTTGCTTTAGAAACATAGAAAACTATGAACAGTGTTAAAGTTGAGTCATCTTTTGGAAAAAGTCATCAAGATTTTTGTCTTCTGTTCTGTAGGTTTTACTGGGATTGACTCTGAGTATGAAAAACCAGAAGCCCCAGAGCTTGTGCTGAAAACTGATTCCTGTGATGTGAATGATTGTATACAACAAGTTGTGGAACTTCTTCAAGAGAGGGTGAGCAGAAATTCAGATATGTCTTAGTAAATTTTTTCAAAGCATTTGTGCCTGTAATTTCTGTAGGCTTCCTTTAGTTGGAACAAGCCGTGTCTGCATGTCTTCTTTAATACTGCATTGTGATTAATAAAGAAAAAGGCTGTAGGCCAGCAGCATTAAAAATCATCTGGGATGTTTTGTTTCAGTAGCTGTGAAAAGATGTGTGTGTGTATATATATATATAGACAGATATACACAACTATATTGATTAAACAAGAATTTGAAACGTTTTTTTATAGGTACTGGAACTATTTTGGTTCTTACAGTTTTCCATAATATTTGAAAAGAGCTCTGAAACAAATTTATCAGGTCTTTTCCAAAAACATTTTCAGTCCTTTGTGGAAGAAAAACAGGTAGCCACAAAGAAATAGAAGTAACAAGCAGCTGTTAAATCTGGGAAGTTCTTGGGTTGTATAACTTGGTTTGGAGGGTTACCTGGTTTGGTTTCTTTGCATGTAAATGCAATAGATACTTCAAAATTCTTTTTAGGGACCTAGAATGCAAGGTACTAATGAGTATCTCGTAAAGCTGCTGAGTCTGAGTCATAGGAAAAGTTTTTGGTTTTGTTTTTTGTTTTTTTTTTTTTTTTTCCCCCCAACTGTTTTCAGTACTATACAAATCAGTGATTGCGTACTATTTTATTTTTTTTTTCCCCAGTCAGAAAAGCTTGTGTGGCTTTTGAGCTTGATAAATTTGAGTTTCAATCTGCTGATATTTTCCAGTGGAGTCAGGCAAGCCTAGTGCAAGTGTTTAGCTGTAAAAATTGAATTGTTTTCATATTTGTTTTTACTGTCAACAAATATAGCTGATCTAGCCCCTTGCACAAAGTTTGTATTCCCTTACTAAAGAGTAAGTTCAATATTTAGCCTGGAAAATATTTTCTGAAGAAGTTATAGCTTAGGAACGGCACTTTTATTGTTAGTGAAGTATAAAAGTGTACAAGGAAAGAGTTGGATTTCCAGTAGGTAACTTGAAACTTTTAACTACTTTTGGGTAAAAGTCTCATTCTTAGGGACACCAACTTATGGTGGCTCTGTGAATACCAACCCCCAAACTGGAAGCTGATTATATACTTCTGCTACTCTTTAGATGAATCCACCATGAGTGTACGTGAGTGTATGTCCCTTCTTCCATGTCCCACCTATCCCCCAATAGTTATAGCCAGGTTCTTATCTGAGCTTAAAATTTACTTGTGTTTGGGAAGGTGGTCCTCATAGTATCTTATAGTACTGATTTCTTAACTATATTCACATAGTTCCCTGCAACTGTACTCAAATTCCGTGTTTTGGAGTGGTGAGAATTTGGAGCAAAGTAGAAGTGTTGTTCTTTGTTGTGGTTTTATAAGATCAGTCTCTTTAAGATTTGAAGCTTAAGGCTGTTGGTTTCTTGAAAATATGTAGAAATGAATTCTGCTGTTTTGGTACACCTGTTGGGGTGTTTTTTTTTTTTTTTTTTTTTTTTTTTGTTTGTTTTTTTAACATCCAGTTATGCTGCAGCTATCACTGTAACAACACAATGATTCTTTCTGGAGCAAAGTTTTCAATCTTGTCTAGGTCCTTATTCACCTATCAAAAATTTGATAATAAATAATACTCTGATCACCTTGGTCTTTGAAATGAATTATAGCAGTCTCCAAAACATCTTTGCATTGAGAAACTTGCCAACATGGGAGCTTGGTATTTTTAATATCTGTAACATTCACATGGAGCAGACATTACAGGTTCAGTCGAGTATATTTGACACAGTTGACTATAGCCAGCTGCTTTATTTCCTGTCTCCTGCTTTCAAAATCATTTAAAAATCATATATAAATATATCTGCTGTTTGTTTGGACACAGTGTTCAAACCAAATACCTACAGCAAAAGGTGATTAGGTGGGACTACCTGGGATTCATAAGACAAAATGCAGACCATGGGGATTTTATAAATGTTTTATAATGCTGGAAGTAAGCATTTGTATGAAATACAGTACAATGACATTAACTTGCAGCATACCGAGCATTTAACTTTGATATATGCTGACATTGTGTGGAATAACTCAGCTTTTTGATAACTAAGCAAAGTATCTGTCTTCCAAAGACATGGGGAGGATACAAAAGAACTGAAATAAATTGTTCAGCATTATGAAAACATTCATCAGCATTATGAAAACATGTGCCCATGCAGTAAAGGCCAACTGCATACTGTACTGTAGTAGCAGGTTGAGAGAAGAAATTCTGCTGTTTTATGTGGCACCTGAGACCATATCTGCATACCATGTCTAGGTTTGTGCCCTTCTCCCTCATCCACAGAAGATAGACATTGATGTATTAGAGTGAGTTGAGTGAGTGGCCACCAAGATGGTCAAGGGCTGGAGCATGTCATTGTACAAAGAGAGACTGAGGGGAACTGGACTTGTTCAGCCTGGAGAAGAGAAAGTTAAAGAAGGTCTTGTTCCTGTTTCTAGCACCCCAATGGGAGAATCTAGCAAAGACCAATGAAGACTTTTTTCAGAGGTGCATGAGGGCTGGATGAGGGGCAACAGACGTGAGATGAAACACAGGAAATTGAAACTAGACATTGAAGAAAAAGACCTTTCACTACAAAGATGATCAAATATTAGAACAAGAGACTTTCTGGATGCTGCATCCTCAGTGATATTGAAAACTTGTTTGGCCAAGTTACTGAGCAGTCTACTCTACTGGTACCAGTTTTGAGCAGGAGGCTGGACTAGATGACCTTGAGAGGCCTCTCCGTGAAAAGGATAATAGTAATTTGGTTTGAGAAGTTGGGGAAAAAAACCCATGCTCTGTGTGAAGGATATACAGGATTATACTATTAGTTTTGTACTGTTACAGTGAAGATTAAAACACAACAGTAAAGATGTAAGCCAGAATTGAACATAAGCCAGTATAAGCTTTTAAGCACAATTTAAAAAAACACCCTTAGTATTCCATTTCTGTAATTCCCACATCAATAAAACACTGATTTCTTCTCATACTTAGGAGAGTAAGCAGAACTTCCTATTGTCCTGGGTTGAGTGAGAGGTGGAGTTTTTTGGTGGCAGGGGAGGGGGCTATCGGGGCGGCCCCCTGTGAGAAGCTTCTCGAAGCTCCACCAGCTCCAAGTCAGCTCCACTTCTGTTTGGGAAATTGAGCCAATCAGCTGCACCTCTGCGATAATGTATTTAAGAAGGGATGTGGTGACGTGCAGTGGGACTTGGGAGGAGGAGTTGCTGCAGCTGCATGAACACCAAGGTCAGTGGAGGAACGGAGGATGAAAGGAGGGGGGAGGTGTGCCAGAGCAGAGACCCCCCTGTATCCTGTGGTGAGACGGCAGGGCGGCCCCCTCCGCCACCCATGAAGATCTACGGTGGAGCAGACATTGATTTATGGCCTGTGGCTCCTGCTCGGCATAATCAAGGTTCTGTGCCCGAAGAAGGCCGGGGTCTCATGGGAAAAGGCAGCCCCGCTGTTGTAATTCAGTGCTGGGAGGATTGCAGCATGCGGGGGAGTCCCACGCCGGAGCAGCTCGGGAAGGGCTGCAGCCGTGGGAGGGAACCCAGTCGGAGAAAGTTAGTGACCCATGACGGAGCAGTGTGGGGAACGCTGCGGCCCATGGGAGGAACTCATGTCGGAGAAAGTTTGTGGAGGACTGTCTTCTGTGAGAGGGGGACCACGATGGAGCAGGAGGAACAAGTTCCGGACACTCCCCTCACCGAAGATGAAGAAAGTGGCAGCACTGACTGCACCCCCCATTCCCTGCCTCTGCGCCACTGGGGGAGGAGGTAGAGATATCGGGAGCAGAGCTGAGCCCGGGAAGAAGGGAGGGGTGGGGGGAAGGTGTTCTCAAAATGTGGCAATGCTTCTCACTGTCCTACTCTGTTATGTGTTGTTAGTGTGTGTAATAAATGTATGTTCTTTTTTTTTCTTCCCCTAACGAGTGTGCCTCTTGCTCATGATCATAAAGGGGAAATTTGTCCCCATCCCAGTCCTATCTCGAACCCCAAGCCTGGCTCTCTGTCCCTTCTCATTGCCGGAGGGGATGGGAGAGAGAGCTGCTGCATTGTGGTTGGCTGCCAACCAGGCCCAAACCACGACACCTATGTTCTAAGTTATGGATTTCCTATTTTTGAGGTATGTGTGCTTTGGTTGTGATAGTTCTGAAAATATACTACTGAATTTTATAGAAATAGATTTCGGTAGCTCAAATTGGTAAAAAAGCATGTATAATTTTGGAGTTATTGAAGAACAAGCTTCAGTTACATTGAACTGTGTAATTATTAAATACTGTGATGGTGTTATTTTTGTTACTTATTTATTCTGCTTTCTTTTGTTTTTAACTTTTGTATTCTGGGAAAAGGCACAGACAACATTTTGGTTCAGAGCCATTCTGTGTTAATTGCAGAGACTTCACTTAGGCAACAATCATCCAATTAGATCTGCTGACTGATAGGTTTGTTATGAGTATTTCTTGATGTTTTCAGTCAAAATGATTTAGGTTGATATAGATGCACTATGTAAGCTAAACATGACTTATTTTGACTAAAACAAACGTATAAAGGATGTCTTTACACATTTGAGAGAAATAACAGTGAACAGTCAGGGTCAGAAATTCTTCTTGTTGGCAGAAGAGAAGTGTTTCTATAGCTCAAGTGAATTTAAAATGTGATAGAGCACAACTGATGGGCAGAGAAGAGGCCTTCAGTCCAGAAAATCATACCTCTCTGTTAAGAACATGGCTGTCATTGCACTTTCCAGATTTCCCCATGCTTAAAAGTACTGACAAACTTCCCCGTGAACTGTAGGTACCAAAACTTCAGTGATTATTATAGTCAAGCAAATACTTCTGTTTGTTTTTTCCATATATAAATAATTCAGTGGCCTCACACTTCAATTAATGTGAATTTATAAGACTAGACATTCAGTAAAGTAAATTGGGTGTCACTTGTGAATGCCTGTCTACTGGAAACTTGCCTGACAGCCCTTTCTCTACAGGCTGTTGAGGATGTTAGCATCAGCAAAGTACCTACTGCCATAGTCTGAGGAGGCACATTCCCATAAAGCATCTAGTTGGTGTGTGTGGTTTTTTTTTTTTTTTTTTATTATTTTCCTGTTTATATGAATCCATTGAGAAATAATAAATGTTGAGGAATATTGTAGAACTTGTCCTTTGGTAGAATGAACCTTTGAGTAAAGTTACTACTTGCAAGTGGTCACTAGATGGCTTGCTAGCCTAGCATTTTCCTAAAATTTATTACAGTTTCAAGACCTATGGATTCAGTTCCTCTTGCCACTGTGTTTTGATGTTGTTGGGTTTTTTTAATCTAAGATGTTGTTTCAAATACCATTTTTATGTCTGCAAGGGAGTCTAGGTTTACTAATCCTACAAATTCTCTAAATGTCTGACTCAGTGTTGCTAGGACTGTCTTCAAGCTGTTTTAATCCTTATAATGAGGTAGGTTGACAGAAACTGTAGTGTGAAACCTTTTTCTCCGTTGTTTTTCCCATTAGTGGGACACTAAAAACAGGATAATATTTGAAGAGACCTTTTTAATAGGCACATTAATTTTAAGCTTTTAATGGTTTGTAAAATTAGGACATTCAAGCATAGTAATGAACTAGGGTTCAAAGGGGAATCTTCTGTGAAGCAACATAATGTGTACTCAGTCATTATACTGTGCTTGTAAGGTCTGTTGTTCTTTACAGCAAGCAATACCTTTATTTGGTTCTGGGATTATTGCTGTGACAGGAGTTTGCAGCTCTCCTGGGCTGTAATGCTGCTACTCAGGCAGAGAAAATAGAAGGCAGGTTTTGTCTAACTTACTATCTAATAAAATCAGCATCCCAAATGATGTCTGATTTGTAATGGAATGGACATTTCTATATGAAACACAACTTCTAAGTGCTAGTTTAATTTGTTTTTCTTTTATTTGTCTGTGAAGATACGAATAATGTAAGTCAGTGAGACTCACCATGTCTTTTTACTTCCGCAGTTATTTTATCTCCCGCTTGCTTTCATCATCCCTCTCCCTTTGTTTTACTTTCCACAGAGGTAGTGCCTAATGTCTGATAAATGCCTGGATAAATGCTTTACAATTCTTCAGCAAACTTTGTGTTTGCTACATGCATACCTGTTTACTCTGGGCTGCATATACTGGAAAAATAAATACAATATCTTTATTCTTGTTATGGGTTTATATACACTTTGTTGTAAGGTTGAGCTTTTTTTTTTTTTTTTTTTCCTCAAAAAGTAAAGCATTACTTTACAAAAGTTTCCAAAACTTTGAAAAACATGTTTTAAAAAGAACTGTCTGCTGCTATTCACTGTTTTTTTTTTTTTTTTTTTTTTTTGCTACTGTATATCATTTGAACATTTGACTGGGTTTTGACATTTTACACCATCCTTTGTCAGAGGAGACTCTTTAAAGTTTTGTCATGATAGCCTTCTGCCTTTTTTTTTTTTTTAAATTATCGTTTTAATCCTTATATTCATATCTTAGGAGAAGTTTAAGGTGTTGAGTCTTGAGCATTATGGAGTGAGGATGTCTTGTTTAAAAAGCATGGAGGAAAATGAATTTTTTTCAAATAAAAAATTTGATATTCTGTAGTATTCTGGTTATAAAACTAGATTTCAGTTCATTGCATATGTATTGACAGATGACCTCACATTTAAATGTTCTAAGTGATAGTATATAGATTAGGATACTGGTGTTATGTCATTAGCTGTAGGTAATACATTTAATCTATATTCCTGTATTAATCACTTTCAGTTGAGAAAGATATTTTTTTTTTTTTTTTTTTTTTACTTCCATGTTACCACTTCTAATGCATGTTGTGTAGTGAATGACTTAAATTTAGAAAGGCTCAGTCTCTTTTTTTTAAACTTCTTTAGCAAGTATAAAATCATTGAGTCTTCCTTTCTACTGTAGATAATGTACGCATCAATAAGTCATAAAAAGTGCACCTAATGCTGAAATGCTTACTAGGTGAATGTTATATGGGGTACTTAAAGTTTAGAAGAAAACCCAGTCTCTTGTCAGAATGTTTCACTCTAGTTACTCAAGCCAACAGCTTGGCTAACAATGTGTCATAATCTTGCAAAAGTGATAGTTTTTAAATGAGTAAAAATTGCTTAATGAACAAGGTCTTGCTACAGAATAGAGCAAAATTAGAATTTTCCTTCTTAACCACATGTTCAGTGTTGAAGAAGTATTCTGAGCACATGTTAAGGTCTGTTTATTCATTTTATCCAGGATATTGTACCAGTGGATGCTTCTTATGAGGTGAAAGAGCTTTATGTGCCAGAAAACAAGCTGCAGTTGGCCAAAACTGATGCTGAGTCTCTGTTAACCTTGGAAATAAATAAGGTATTGTGTGTTCAGTTGTCTCAATTGCTGAAGTTGAAAGGCAGCCTATCTGTTGCTCAGTGAAATTAGATACAGTCGAAATACCTATACTGATTACAGAATATATCTCAATATATTTTTTCCCCTCTTTTCTTGAGAGAAATCTCATCATATGTGTTTTCTTTGATCACTTACTAGAGATAATAATTGTATGTTTGTAATTTCTTAAATGTCTGGTATAGTGTTACTTAGTTTATCCCAAGCCTGGATATTAAATTTACAGTGACTTCCTCTCATGCCTCCCCTCCTGCTCCATGGACTAAACCATGCCTGGCATGGCTTGTATGAGTAGTTGTTTCTAGAATAATTACTGACTTTTTTGGTTTTAGTTTACCTACACAAATAACTTTTTTTTTTTTTTTTTTGGTTTGGTTAGAACATACTCATGCTTTTTTTCTGGCTTCCAGCAGAGAAAATATGGAAAAGCATGGATCGACTCGATAACTCTGTTCTTATTTCAGTTAAATGCGTTGTTTGCCAACTCAGATTAAGATGCAGCTGCTTCTGGCTGTGTTTCTGTTCATCTTCTTTTTCTGAAGAACTAGGCCTAAACACAGATACGATAAAAAAAAAAAAAAAATCATGAATTTTTTCACTGGCTTTTTGACAGTATTACTAGAACTTAAAGCTAAATATTTGATCTAGTAACTAAGCTCAGAGCTGAGCATTTGAAGTGAGTAACTTGACTTTGAAAGATTGAGATGACATACTAAGCACTGAATTAAATAGTTTTAAAATTTGCCTAGACTTCTGCTACTGATAAATTTTAATACTTCCTTTTGCTGCATCTTACTAGATTCCTTTCATATGTGTCTGTAAAACTATTTATTGCTTTGAGGCATAAGGTCACCATTATTAAATTTCTGTAGTGTACTGTTCTAAATTGCTCCCTATCTAGAAAAATAAATCTTTTCTCCCTCCACCTGCAACGAGTGGTTTGTTAAATATCAAGCAAGCATATAACATAAGATTGGGAAGAAAATGTGTGTTGTACTGACATCAGCATAAATTAAACAATGTAATACAATTATTCATGTTCTTTGACAAGGACAGGATTTGCTTGTGCAAGTCTCTTTTGCAAAGTCTTGACTAAGTCTATAGTAATGCATATGCAGAAATAATAAGTCCACACACTAAGTCGTAGTGCGACTGTCTAAGTGCTAAGGAAGGAAATTCCCTGTAAGCTGATACCTTTTAAACTTAAATTAAGTACTAGTCCTGAGAGAATTTTACTTCTGGATAGTCTCACTAGTTTCTGCAATAAAAATTTTCTTTCGAATATGTTTTAAGATAAGTTCTCTTACTATTCAGCCCCATAATTCTGATATTTTTGTGGTAATTGTTTGTATGTGGGTTTTTTAACCTCTTGGTTATTTTGCTTTGTTAAAAAAATAAATCAAAGTGGGACCCTCTAATTCTGTTAAGTTCAACGTTATCAAACAAAGAAAGTTTGTTGTCGTGGGTTTCTCTTTGTTGGTGTTGTGGTTTAGCCCCAGCCAGCAATAAGCACCATGCAGCTGCTTGCTCACTCCTCCCCCCTCCCAGTGGGATGGGGAGAAGAATAGGGAAAAAAAGTAAAACTCGTGGGTTGCGATGAGAATGGTTTAATAACTAAACTAAAATATAATAATAGCAACATTAATAAAATATAATAGTAATGAAAAAGAGTACAATAGAGAGAAAACCTCCAAAAAGCAAGTGATGCACAATACAATTGCTCACCACCTGCTGTCCGATGCCTGAGCAGCGATCCATCCCCCAGTCAACTTCCCCCCCATTTATGTGCTGGACATGATGTTCTATGGTATGGAACATCCCTTTGGCTGGGTCAGGTCAGCTCTCCTGGCCAGGCTCCCTCCCAGCTCCTTATGCCCCAGCTCACTGGCAGAGCAGAGGAAGCCAAAAAATCCTTAACTTAGGAGAAGCACTAGTTAAAACATCAGTGTGTTATCAACATCATTCTCACACTAAGTCCAAAACACAGCACTGTACCAGCTACTAGGAAGAAAATTAACTCTATCCCAGCCAAAACCAGGGCAGTTTGCTTTTTAACACATGGAAATTTGATCTAGTGTAAGGACTGGAAAATAGCCAAAAATATGAACAGTGAAGAACAAGTAGTTATTTTCGTCTTACTTGTAGAAACTTTGAATTCTTTGTGATTAAAAACTGTAATACTGAGAAATATTCCATTTATATTGTCCTGCATTTTATGGCTAAATCATGATCTATTATGATTAATACCTAATATCAAATATTAAGCAACAACTTTTATTATCTGATTTAAGTCTATTTCTCTATTTCTTTACAAGGTGGATATGCAATGGGTGCAAGTGCTCGCAGAAGGTTGGGCGACACCCCTGAATGGCTTTATGAGGGAGAGAGAATACCTACAGTGCCTTCACTTTGACTGTCTCCTTGATGGTAGGGTAAAATTTACCATTGTAAAACCGGGCAAATTAATCCTACTTCTGTAACATAGTTGATGCTTTACTTCATGGTGGTGCCGTTACACACTTATCAGGCTTGTGCACAACTTGGGGCAAGAGAATAGGCTGTTGTAATCACCAGTTTTAAATTTGATGGTTTTATTCTTTTTATACCTACCATCATGTTGGAGTTTGAATGCCTTGGTTTTTTTGCCTTTACAAATCATATTTTTCAAATGTTTTCAGTTTTGAAAAACCTTTAAACCTAGAATATATATTTCTAATTTGTTTTGAAGAAATTGATTTTAAAATTCAGAACCGCAATTTAATGGCTGTTTAGCTCTGTGTGCCAAAAGATTTGTTCCATACTAGTAATGAAGGAAAGGACAACAAACTGACTTGAGTGCTGGAGCTATTGCAAGTATAAAATCAGAATCTGAGGAGGTGACTTGAGTATAGACAGTTGTCACATGCAATTGAATTACTATGACTTCCTTTAAATCATCACATGATAATTACTAATATATTTTATTTTGCATTGCCAATTCGCTAAGGGCAAGCATTGGTTAAGGTAGTCAACAAGTGATAACATGCTCAGGTTTTGAAATTTGATTATGATCCTCTCATTTTTCATTTATTCCTCTTTGAAGGCTCTGTTTTACTCCAGCCTTTTTAGGGTTCTTTTTAGGATTTTTTTTCTCTATATCAAAAAGGGATAGTAAAAATACCTGTCTCCATACTTCCTTCTGTATTACTCTTCTCTTGCTGGAGACCAAATAGCAGAAAAAGAATGCCATTTGTCTTTCAAGTATATGATCCAGATATTTGTTGTCCCTCTTATATTTTCTAGTTCCCTTTTCTAAAGTCTGTTGGGTACTATCCTAGGAACATAATGCCATCCATTATTTTGGAGTATCTAAAGTTTGAAGTAGCATTTTGGACTGCTAGTTTTGTTTTCATTCCATTTACCTTCTGTGTGTCCATCCAGGTGAAACATACTCTGCAGATGGCATGCTATGCATTCAACTGCTAAAATAGCTTGTAACTCATTCTGCCCTGTAGTCTTCTGTAAATCAGAATTTTTATAAGGCTTATAAGACACTGTACAAGTGAGTGTTTCAGATATGGCAGTATTACAAGTTTTTAAACTTCTCTTGCAATTGTTTTTTAATACCTCATATATGCTGCAAAAAAAATGAGTAATGAAAAATGAGTAACTTACTGGTGGAAACAATTTTCAGTCCTAAGCTTGAATAGAACAGTCATGGTCCTCTAGATGCTACCATATTTCCTCCTCTTAGATATCTACTGCAGCATTTACATATGAGAACCTTTTTAGAAAGAGCTGCTTTGCTACTTGAAGCAGTGGCAGTGGTTAAGTCAAAACAACATCCTGAAAGTTTCCTCCATGCTTGGTATGTTCTGGATTCTCACAGCAACAGTCATTTTCCAGGGTTTTGAATTGGAAGAGAGAGAGAACGTTTAGTATCTGCAGTGCATCTCATCTTCTGGGCTCTAAATGCAGTGTTCCTACTGACTGACATACATATTATGGAGATCAGTGCAGGTGTGTTGATATTCTCACTGTAAAGCTTAAGTTATCTGAAATTGTCTGAAGCTGATACTGTGCTCATCTGTCACTTGACAAACTCACTCCACTACATTGCCTCAGTCTCTCATTTGTACAGTGGCTGAAGACAGTTGTCAAAGATATTATATATTTATTATTGGTCACTGACAAAATTTTAAAAATAGACAGGTTTGAGATCTCTTCCCTGTTTGAAATATTTATTTACTTGTTTGCAAAGCAAAAGGTTTTTTTTAATTATCAAGTTAGGGGTGGGTGGCAAATTGCCTTCTCTGGGACTGTTGCCAAGCTCAATTTATCACCCAGTTGCTTTGAAAATAACTGAGCACTAAGACTGAACTTAGGAGAAGACGCACAGCACGCTTTTCATTTTGCATTATTAAGGAAGGGAGTACCTATTTTTCTCTTAAACTTTTCATCCAGCTTCATAGTTTTTAACTTCCTACCACACTTAAGGTAGTATTGAGAAAAGGTTATAAAAATGTATTGCTCAAATAATGGGGAAATCAGCCTTATTTAGAGTCTTGGTCTCACTAAAGCCAGTAACAAAGGCCCCATTAGCTTCCAGGTGCCCATGACTTTTCTCCTGGAGACCACCCAGAAGTTTTGTACTCTTCTGGCATGTGTATGCTCATTAGAATTTGAGCCTTTGTCTGAGACTTACAGTATTTATTCCACTGGTTTTCTCAAATCTCACTCTGGTAGTTATGAAAAACAGGACTTCTAGTATCTAGCAGTGAAGTAAATGCTTAACAATGAGGACCACACAGAACCAGATACACTCGTTCAGTTTCGGAAGTGAAGTAGCTGGGAAGCTTTCAAACAAATCGTGTAAAATGTCTGTCTGACTCAACATTTTTTTCTGAAATATATATGCTTGAATCTGAATATAGTTTTAAGTAACCCACAAAAGACACTTCTTGAAATACTTGAATTATATATGCTAACTACTTGAGTGACTACTTGTATTGTATTGTACTTCTCTTATGGACCAAAAGTATGGCTACTGAGAATGCTATTTCTTTTTTACTCATTATCTACTCTAGTAGCAATCTTGCCTAATATTTTAGATTATCTGTTTAAAAATGTCAACCGTGTATTTCTGCTTCTGTATATAGCTTCTTGAACAAGGTACTCATTTGAGATCCCCCAAAAAGCAGAATCTTAACCTGAATATTGGTGTGCAGCTAGAAATACTTGCTATTTTCAGTACTTTCTTTGCTCTTTCTCAAACCTCAGTGCTTGCACGTTTTTATAGCACACACATCTTATGCAAGAGTTCATTCTAAAAGTTGCGGTTAACTCCTGTTAAAATAAGTAGTTGAACTACCTGTTGTGCCATACACTTAAAGCCTTGATTGTAACTTGTTGGGAGGGTAAATTTTCATAATGTCATTGATGATCATTACTAAGCATAAGGGGGGTTTGTTTGTTTGTTTGTTTCTTTTTCCTTCACTCTGCAGGGGGAGTTATTAATCTGTCAGTGCCTATAGTGCTAACAGCTACTCAGGAAGACAAAGAAAGACTGGATGGTTGTACAGCAATTGCTCTGGTGTATGAAGGTCGACGCGTGGCCATTCTCCGTAATCCCGAATTCTACGAGCACAGGAAAGAGGAACGCTGTGCTAGGCAATGGGGAACGACATGCAAGGAGCATCCCTATATCAAGGTGTGTGTTTAGAAGTTGAAGACATGGTACCATTAGCAGAACTGATTGTGGGGCTGCAAATTAAGTGAAGCTGATGTGTGTGTTGTATTTTGACATGAAAACTACTCTGAGAACTAATTAAAACATTTGAGCAGAAACCATGGTAATTTTTTTGGTTATATGCAGCTGTTGAATAGTCTGCACTTAGCGTGAAAATCTAATCTCAGTATGTACACATGAAATTACTTTTGAATGTATTGTAGAATCTGTGCTACAGAAGAGGGAACTTTGCCCTCTAGTGTGCCTAGTAAACACATCCTTCTGTGTGGCCAGATGGATCATCAAAGCTCCTTAATCAGCAGTTATATGCATTGTGAAGAAGAAAACTTCTATTCTGCTTGCATGTGGAGCACGTGAGAACTGCCTGGTTTAGATGATTTTGAAATAGGCCCAGGTCCTGGCGAGTTCATCGTTTAAATCTGGAGAGTTATTTCCCATTCATTGTGTTCAGTATGTTGTGTTACCTTGACCATATGTTTATGTCATAATGAAATACTCCAACTGTAACATACTCATCACAATGCTGTGTTTGGTTCTGCAAGCTGATGTAAATGTTGCATTTTAGCTCTGCAGAGCCAAAATATGTTTCTTTCTCCATTTGTCTCTACAATATCTTTTTATTTACAAATATGACTTAAAATCCAATGAAAAGAAATCAAACAAACTGCAAATTATGAGCTTGCTCTTAAAAGGGGAAAGCCTTTGATGTGTTCTGAAAGTATCTGTACGACTAACAGTTATACATATGTGAAAACTATGGATTTTCTTCTTTATTTTACTAATGTGTAATCAGTTTTTAAATTTATGTGTAATGACATTCTTTTATGACCTGAGGTTGTATTCAGGAGTATATCTGAAAAAGGACATCTGCTGCTAGACACAAGTAAGAACATTCTGGAAGATTTTCAAAGCCCTTGATTTGTTCTGTGCTGATGAACATAAGACTACCCCCTTATTGGAAACTTAACACTAATTTTAGAAACGCTAAGAAAATCTCATGCAAACAAGATTTGAATGACTTATTATAAAGCATTAGCAATTACAGAATGACATGGCTGAAACTAATGTATAAGATCAGGAACTATGTTCTTAGGTCTGTACTGGAGTGTATAGTAGTATCATGACAGTGTATGAATGTGTGCATAGGAGTATCATGACAGCACACGGAGCTAGTGGCCCTTCTAATAAATCTTTTGGGGTCTGAGAATTCCTGTACTGCAGAGTTTTTTCATCTTTATATCTTTATTACACCTTCCACCCACCCTGATAAGATGTCCAAGTCTGGTATTTTCTTTGGGAGGGGGGTGGTGACTGTAGTATCATTTAAGTCCAGCAGGTCCTCTATCTCAAAGCAAAAATAAATTGAAAAATCCACACCTGATTTTAACACCTTGGCTTGTGAGTTTAGTATGTAATGTCTTAAGTTACATTTGTTGTCATCTTTGAATTACATAAGGCTAAAAAATTATCAGAAATGTGTATGAAACGTCTAAGTTTTTTGTGGTTCCATCTTCAAAAGCAAATGTATTTTCACAGAAATCACAGAAAATTTAATTCTGTGGCCATTGCTAGAGTATGTTAAGCAGCTTACCATAATTATTTTGTGATAAAGGGTGAGGTGATGTTTGAAGATATCAAAAGATTTCTAGGGAGTGTACAATATATGTTGCCTTGATAAAGTGCTACTGTGAAGCATATCCAAAAGCTATTCTACTTCAAATATTCTGATTTTATTTGTGAGTTCATCAGAACTGTTTTATTTGTTACTTCATTGCTGACCAGAAGGCAGAGTGATACTGGAACTGCATTTGCTTTGACCAACAACTATGAAGTGTGCAACTTTATTTCACTTAACATATGAGGCTTTCCAGACACACTATCTTTTTTTGTCATGTAGCACTGTTGGTTAAGAATACTGGCAACTTAAATTTCTATATATTAAAAAAAAATCCTTTATTTTAAAAGAAAGGCATATGCCTAGACATTTATGCGTATCTCCTACACCATGGTATAACATGTCTGAACTACGTTACAGTGGGGGTTTTTTTGGTGTGTGTTTGTTTGTTTGTTTTAACATTGATGCTTGACTTGAGACTGTCAAATAAAATTAGATGAGAGCTCCTCCCTTGGTAAAGATGTACCCCCTTTTCAATGCTCTAGATGCTCAGGAGACGCTGACAACCAATGCTAACATGGATTTTCATTTCTTTTCTTAGATGGTTATGGAGCAAGGGAACTGGCTCGTAGGTGGAGATCTACAGGTCCTTGATCGTATTTATTGGAATGATGGACTTGATCAATATCGTCTCACTCCAGCTGAACTAAGGCAGAAATTCAAGGATATGAATGCTGGTGAGTAACTTTTTCTTGTTCTGTTCCTTCCTGCAAAGATTTATCCAAATGCCAGCTGCCTCAATATCACAGGGGCTAGCATTCTTTCAAGAACGAAGATTTTGATTGCCCTTAAGTGACAATATTTTCCTTTTACTTGTATTAATTTTTATGTATTTAGGCATTGCATTGCCTAAATACACAAGAGAAGCTGGTCATGCCTGAGGTTCTGAATTTTATCTTTCCATGCACGTTAGACATGCTACCAACGCAAGAAAAGATAACCTTAAAATGTGGTAGAATGTGATTTAAAAATTAACGGGTTTGGCTAAGACCGTAGAGTTATGGTTCCATGCTGAGTTTTCATGCTCTTATATTTTTAAGTCTGTTCCATGCTACCTCCGGGGAGCAAAGCTTGTGACAGCAATGCAGGTAGACTGGTGCAAAGTGGAATGTATCACAGTTAAAAACTGTGAGCTAACTGCTAGCTTTATATTGCAGAAAAAACAGTTTTTTTCACTAAAACATTTGTGTTAGGCAGATAAATAAGAGACCGAGTAATGTCATAGGGCAGCAGAGAACAACCAAACATACTGCTTTCATTGTGGCAGTGATTGGCAGGCAGCTGCTAAACACTTCTAAGTGTGAGGGAAGAGATCAACGTCAAGAATACAAACTGAGATTGGTCCTGAGCTTCAGTCTTTGTTCAGCGTGGTCAGTATTTCCAGGACCTGCAGGTTTGAGATACTCATCTTTGTTTTAGGTAGTCCCTAAATAAATATATTTGATACCTGAGAAAAACCCCTGTTCTCTGGATTTCATTGGTTCCTACCTGGGAAACCTCTCAGTCATGGTGATTTTGCTGTGTTTGCAGGGTGTCTTAGTTCATCTTAATTTGCAGAAGGGAGAAGTCCTGGTTGTGTCAGGGTTTTCCATCAGAGTTTAGAATATCAGTTAGCCTTGCTTTGTTCTTACTGTGCATAACCTCTACTGAGCTGTTTAAGTGAATAAAACTTATAAATGCACATTAAAACCCATTTTATTTGTTTTGCTGCAAACATGTCCATTTGTTCTCCTGATGACACACTGAGCATTTAAGATAGGTAGCATAGTTTGATTTCCTCTTAGAATATAACTTTATATTTTATGCTCATAGAAGTGAAAAATCCAGAGAGAAGATGATAGCTATTGGAGAAACCAGAGTAATTCTGAGGAAATCTCAAAAATGAAGGAAGCTGATTTATTTCATATGGTGTTTTTTATTAGTTTTGCTTATTGAGTATAATGATTTTATAATAATGTAATGACCTGTGACTACTGCTATTAGACTTGTTTAATAGAGTTCAGAAGATTGTACCATTTGAGGATTTTTCTGTGGTCATACAACTTCTGATAAAATAACTTGCTTTCCTTATATCTTTTGTCTGTTTTTTTCTCCATAGATGCTGTCTTTGCATTCCAGTTACGCAACCCAGTGCACAATGGGCATGCTCTTTTAATGCAGGATACTCACAAGCAGCTTTTGGAACGTGGCTACCGGCGCCCAGTTTTACTCTTGCATCCACTTGGAGGCTGGACAAAGGAGGATGATGTTCCTCTCATGTGGCGCATGAAGCAACATGCTGCAGTACTAGAGGAGGGAATCTTGAATCCAGAAACAACAGTGGTGGCTATATTCCCTTCCCCCATGATGTATGCTGGACCAACTGAGGTAAATACATCAAGAGTTTAAAACAGAACAAAACCCCTTTGATAGTGCACTAAACTCTTTCAGGCTATGCCTGATGCTTGTGCGTTGTTTTTTTTTAATGGAGAGAGGAGACAAATTTTCTCTGGGAAACTAGACTTTAAAGGCTCCCTCTGTCATCAAACAAAACATTCTTCTGTGAAAAACTTCTATATTGGAGGATTTTGCTGGAAACAGTGGGACATAATACTGGGTTTATGTGCTCCTTTCTTTACAGTTATAAGGGTATGATAATGAATTAATCCTTCCTTCCTCCTTTCTCACAGTCTTTTTCAGAAGGAATGATAAGATCTGTTAACATACTAAATAGTTGTCCTGAATGTTAAAATAGTTAGGTGACATCACTGTTAAGCAAAAAGTTTGTATATTAGAAGGCTATGTACAAATTGGGAAAAAAAAAAAAAAAGAACAAACAACAACAAAAAAACCCAACACCCCAACAAAACCTTCCTTATTTATTTTGGCAAAAAAATTTCAGAGAGAGTTGCTTCAAGACTTTTGTATGAAATTTCTCTGACAAAACTTTATTTAGAAGCCAGGTCTTGGGCTGGAATCCCTAGTGGTTTGTAGGAAGCAGCAGAGAGAATAAATACTCTTGCTTGAGGGCAATTGCTTTAGGTGACATTGGTTGTCCAGCTCATTACTCCCCCCACCATGAGTCACAGGAAGTGCAAATCCTGAGCAGGCTCAGGAGGCTAACTCTGTCATAGCTTTTTGATAGATAGGAGATCTCACCAGTGGAATTAGACAGGTGTCGCTTATTTTCTGTTGGCCAATTGACTGATCAAACAGAGCCTTCAGTGCCTTTCTGTCCAGAGAAAAACTGTAGTCCAGATCTAGCTGAGGAATTTTGTACTTTTGTTCTGTGGGGAATCTTATACTGTTCCCTACAGACCTTCTATGAGAATTAACAGAAATCTTCTACTTTGATTGTGTATTCATGAGCATATGATGAGGAACAAAATCCACGCTTATTCTGAAGAGTAAGTTTTTTCCAAACCTGTGTGGCACTTCCAGTGTCCTCAGAGTACATCCTGACAAAAATATTTGTAGCCAAGTAGTGAGGCACTCTTTAATAATTTTCCATAGGTCATTTAAAAGACGTTAGTACCAGCACAAGTGCTTTACAGAACAGCAGGCAGCTGTTACTATGGTTATCTACAGGATGGATGTGACCTTCCAGTCTACAAAGATTTTAATAGATGTGTTTCACAAGCATCAATTTAGTGTTTTTGTATTTGTAACATTCCTGATAATTATCTTGGAAGAAAAGAAACAGTTCTATAAGGGAAAATTGTGTATCAAAATGCAATAAATTCACCTCCTTAGGAAAGTATGTTCTGAAGTAGTATGGATGTATAGAAATGGGACAAGGGCAGTTAGTTTTATGTCTCAAACGTGATTACCTTATCTTAAATGTTCTTAGTCAAATAACTTCACTTAATCAAAATGGAGTTGTTATTTAATATTACCCAAGTGACAACATGAAACTTAAATTTCTTAACTATGCTAGAATAGTTTCAGAAGATATGCTGCTTGCTGCTGTGGTATGCTGAAATTTCATGTGTATGGCCCATTCTGTGTTTGTAACATAAATATTAAAATTATTAGCATAGCTATAAGCATCCAGATGCTTCCATAGCACCCTATATGCTTGAATAGCAGTGGAATCCATCATGTGTAATGTCTGGCTGTGGTCAAGATGAAAACTGATACCTGTGGTACACTCGTAACTCATGACTGATTCCTAATTTCATTATCTGACTACTGATTTGCTGAACTCTGTCTACATTGACTGCAAAACTTCCTCCTTGTTGAATGGTTTCTACAGTGATTAGTTATAACTAATTAACTATAATGCAGAACTAACAGTTTGTTACTACTATGAGAAATCACTTTTGAGCTTCTTGCCCAAAGCTTATTAACATAGAATAGCATGCACATTGACTGAAATATTAAACAGTGACTAAAATATGAAACACTGGTTCTGTTCTATGTAGAGATTTGCAGTAGACAGATGAGTATTTTTTTTTTTTTTTGTAATGGAAGGAACATTTATCTATCACATTGTTCATTTACTATAAAGTAGTGGCAGCAACTTCTGTTCTTTGATTTGTGGGTTTTTTCCTCCTGCCTTCCTATCTTTTTTTTCCCCCCCTTTAGTGCTTGACAGATGTTTACTACTGTTCAACTTGTGAAGCTACTTTACGCTATGTAGTTACTGGGTAGGCCCTTTAGTTTTGGGTACTTATTTCTGAAGTTAAGACTGCACATATAAGGAACTACTGTTACATACTTGCTGGGTTTTTAAACTCTTCTCTGAGTATCCTTTGGCATATACGAAGCTATGTAGATCGTACGACAATTCTTTTAGGGGAATAATTCCCAGTATGAGAACATACTGACATTTCCTGAAGTGGTGTGTTTTTGTTACCTAAAGTAATGTAATAGTTATTTTACTTTTCCTGTATTGTACAGTTAAATTTTCTACTGAAAATATTAAATATAAAACTGAATTAAGAAAAATTATCAGCAGTTCTGTAACATAGTAAGTCTAAAAAATGTCATAAGTATAATGTATCTAATAGTCTAGGATCTAGTAAATACTACAAACAGTCTTTGAGAGAAAAAAATCCTCTCACTGTATTTAGTAAGAGATGTGTTTCTAAATAATTTGGAATAATTTAATTGCTTGTAGGGTGCAAATGATTGAAGAGTCTGTGCAGAATTTACTTTGAAATATCATCTTTTTTTTTTTTTCACCTTCAGTAGTAACAGAGTTATAAGGAAAAAAGTAAAAATCAAGTTGTTATTTATGAAACCTCTCATTTTGAATTATGCAGCGAAGTAATGTGGGAAAGCTGTTTGCCAATATTTACAATACTTCAAATATTAGGTGGAAGAGAGTTGGTGCAATCAGGCAAAAATTCAGTAAAGCTAGAGTTCACGATTTTGACATTGGTTCCTCCCCAGTTCATACAGATATATTAAAATCAAATTATTTCAAAATGATCAGGAAAAAGTGACTTAAAAAAAAAACAAACAACAAACTATAGTTGATTCATCTGTTTTTGTCTTGGAACCTTGTGGTATAAATAGGCAGTCTTAGTGCTCTGAAAGCCTATTCCAAGCATTGATGTGCAGTGTGTACCTAGTGACCTTTGGGTCTCAATATTGATGCAGAAGAAGTGTTAAAGTTGTGCCTCAGACAACATCCTTGCCACATGAGCAAGGTGAAAATGCTTAGCATGGGTAGTTTTTCTATTTTAATGTGTAGATAGGTTGATTAGATCACCCATGCATGTGGTGTTTAAGTAGCCTATCTTGTCTTTCTTTGAGTGAGAAATCTGGCAGCTATCTATTGGTCAGGGTGTCTTTTTAGAGAAATTACTGTGATTAAAACAGAGCAATATATGGCTAGATCCCACTAAGCTTCCCAAAGCAGTTGCTTTTGCATTAATTTTTTTATGTGAAAGAAAAGGGATGGAGGGTTACAACATCAGGAAGAACTGAGCTAAGAAATGGATGAGATCCATCTTTCTTGCCCTGATTATGCTGCTCCAAACTGTGCTAAAGTAACTTTTTAAGTACCTTAATGTGCAAATGAAAAGGGGGAATAGTATGCCTTAGCTGTAAGTTTGGTGGTGATTTCACATAATTGATTCTTTGTTGTGGCTCCATTGTAAAAATCATGTCTGACTGGGGAAAAAGTGGTAGTTACACAATGCATGCACAATTTAAGGGTCATATTTTGTCCTTTTTCTTCTGTTAACGGTTTTTCCCTGTCTCTGTTGTAGGTTCAGTGGCACTGTAGGTCACGGATGGTTGCAGGAGCTAACTTCTACATTGTAGGGCGAGATCCAGCAGGGATGCCACACCCTGACACTGGGAAAGATCTGTATGAACCAACCCATGGTGCCAAAGTGTTGACAATGGCTCCAGGTCTCAGAGCACTGGAAATTGTACCCTTCAGAGTTGCAGCTTATAATAAGAAAAAGAAGTGCATGGATTATTATGACTCTGATCAGTAAGTTGTATTTTTGTTTCAAGACTTTTTGAGCAATAGCTGCCTTTTACCCACCACCCAAATAAAAAAATTGTTTTTAATTAAATTCATATTGCTCAAAGATGGCAGTGTTTGGATGTGGTTTTAGATCATGAGTGCAAGTTGACTTCAGCATGATCTGGGTGCGGTTTCACAGCACAACTAACCTGATCCAAGTTTAGCTGCCACTGGAAGCTCCCTTTTTCCTCCCAGGTACTGGAGTTTCTCTAATTCTGGAACATGCTGGCACAGATTGCTAAATCCATTAAAAAGTATTGCTATTTATTATAATAGTAGTAAGATTAGCTTTCTGCTGGTTTATCTTTATAAATATGCTTCTCAGGTGTGCATCAGACATGATGGAAGAGAAACAATGAGAGAGTGCAGCAGGGAGAAGGTAGTAGACACGAGAGGGTGACAAATAGCAGTTTGGTTTAACAATAATGTAAAATGATGCCCTAAATTGAATGTATGCCTCAGGGTTTTCAGCTGTGTATTGGTTTTTGTTTGTTTTTTTTTTTTTGTCTGTTTTGTTTTGGTTTTCATTTTTTTGTTTGATTGTTTTGTTGTTTTCTTTTTTGTCTGTTTGTTTGTTTTAAATTTTATTTTAAATCCAGTTACAGGACAAGTAATTTCACCTTCTTGTGTGTTTCAGTATTTTTCACTTGTGTCATAGAAGAGTCTGAAACTCACTGTATGTGTTGTGGTGCCAACAAGTGGGACTAGGAAGATGACTTGTCATTCTAGTTTAAACTTCTTTATTCAGATTATTGAACTGTACTTTTGTTTTACATACTGATTGTCAAGCAAGATGTGTTTCTAAAAAACTTGTATTCTGACCATTTCCTACTGCTTCTAACTGAAGGAGTACGTCTGTACAACATGGTTCATCTTTGAAAGCATGAAATCAGCATGGGATGGATTGATCTGTAAAAATGAACCCATCTCTTAATTCTTGTTCTTCAGCTGCTTATGCTGCAGTTACACAAAGTATAAAAGTCTCCAAGGATGCCACTGTGGCTTGTGACAGTCAACCAGCAAGTTCTATTCAGCAGCTTGTGTCTTTCTTACCATGAATTATGTTTATTAGTAGATGGTGTGCTGGCTTAACCTTGATTGTAAGTTATGTAACTGCTTTATATTTCAGCAGTAAATTCCAAGCACCTGAATTAGTCTGCTTTTATTTTCAAAAGCCACAAAGTATTATAGTCTCTTGCATAACTAAATATAACTTTATGTTCTTGTGTTGTTTGGAAATCATAAGCAGCATGATAAAGGCAAATCTGCTGAAACCTGACAAGAATTAAAATAGTTTCACTGTGTATTACTCTACGATGTCCATATGTGTTTAGAAATTTGATGATTTGCTACACTGCAGATGTTTTTAAATTGAAGCTAATCAGGGAGGCTTACTTAGTAGTTGTAGTTTGCTAATGATGTTCTTCCTTTGTTCTCCCTCCCATATAGGCAGCATTCCAGCGTAAGGTTCTCCTTAGTGCTGGGAAGCTCCTCTTTGGATGGCATTGCAGCCGGTTTTGTTATTTTTTTCTCCTCAGGTGAAGATGTTAGAGTAGCATCAGATCAGACCTATGCCCTTATACATATGGTATTTTCATTAGGATGAATACAATTGGAGGGAAGGATACTCCTAGAATATATGACATGAGAGTCTTTTCCTAAACTTAATGCCTCTTAGCTAGCTGTTGAACACTTCACTACCTTTGTGCCTTTCATTATTTGTGATGTATCTAGAAGTCCTCATTTCTGTGCACAGTAACTAGATTGTGATGGCTAGTTTTATGCAAACATGTACATGTATACATTATAACATAAGGTTCAAAAGGCTATTGAGTATTGGTCGTTTTTGTTGTCCAATTAATTCAGCAAGTTTTAGAAGATAAATACAGAAAGACTAAAGTGAAATAGTTGTGCCGGTGTGTCGCTTAATAATTTGGAATAGAAGGGGAGTAGCAGTGTGAGAAGCCAGAATTCCCATTGCATGGAACAGAAAATCTTTGTGAAAGAATATGGATCCTGTAATCATTGATACTGTACTCTTAGCAGGATAGATCTGATTTAGATAGAGAGTAAAATTGTATCTCTGTCATTAGCTAGAGCTAATTATATATAACAAAAAGGTATCTATGGTAGCAGGTTTTGCCTTTTGTCACAGACTGCATTATGCACACCCTATTATCCTTTCACCATGCCTGTGGGCATCCTTTGGTTTGAGGCATTTTTCTTACGTTTCTGTCACTGTTGTGGATAAAAGACCATGATGCTATTAGTTTGCAGTTTTGCCTTGCTGTTGTCGGAATGTAAGACCATTTGTCCTGTCCTTCCCTAGATGCTGTTTGTAAGCTGGACTGTTTGGTGGACTGGAGTGTGGCAGCAATCCTCTAGATGGCAATGCAGACACATGCAGACTTCCTGAAGAGACAGCCATTATTACTCCTGCTTGCCATAGACAGAACACTGTGGTAGGCTTCTGACAGTTAGAGCTTGGGTGGGTGCAGCTGGCTACATTTCAAGATAGTCTGCGTAATGCTGAAAATGTGGCTGACTCCTGGACCATGTGGTTTTTGACTCTGTAAGGAGGATGGCAGGGAACAGAGGATTGTCTGGAAATATGAGAGGATCAGTACTGGTAGAAGATCCTTGGGTGTGAGATAGTGATGTTTGTGGAAATCTTTTCTGAGCTCACCACTTACCTGGAGAAAAACACAGCTTGAAAATATGGGGAGGAGAGTTGTATGCATAGAAGCATTGCTCTAACTTGTTTTGGAAATAACTTGACTTCTATTGTGCCTTTCTGAGTTCTTTGAGGCTTGGAGACGTGACAGCCAAGTAGACAATTCAAAAATTTAAATCACTAATGGATTCGCATAAGGTTATGGCAAGTTGTTTCCCATGGACTGAGCTATAGCTGAGCTGCATGTCTTAGCTGCTGAAAGTAGTTATTTTCTCCCAGATTGGTCACCTCTTCTATTCTTTCAGGCCTCCTAATCTCCTCTATCTGGACAGGTGCTTGTGAGAAGCTGTAGTGGACACCATCTGCTACTTGGGGGTGTCTCTAATTTGGCAGAGTTGGATCCGCACCTGGTGTGGCAGCAAAGACCTGTAGAAGTTGTTGCAGTTGGGCTCTTTGACGTTAGTGAATTACCTTTTTGCTTCTGAAGGTAATCCCAAGCCATAGGGGTGATGGGGGGATTAATTTTTGGATGGTGGTGAGAGGTTAACAAAAGATTTATCCAACTGCCAGAAGGATGTTTGAGAAGTTGGGGCTGCAGCATTAGCAGTGGCAGAGAGATACTTTACTTGTGATATCTCTAAACATTTCAGCTTTTACAAGAATGTTGTAACACTTGCTGATAGCATTCCATGTATGCCTGTGGGGGTAGGTTTTCACATGCTGGGTTGGTACTGGTCAGCTATGTACCATAAGATACTGGGCAACTGTGTGATACCTTGCTGTGGCTAAGTTGCTCGTGATCTGATGTCAAGCCTGGGAAGCATCAAAAAGCCTACCACTGGCCCTGCCTCCAAATCAGTAATAAAGGCCCTTATTTCTCAGGTGTGTTGTGACTCTGAGAAGTCATTGTTCTTAAGGTCTTCAGCTTCCAAAGATGTCCATGCGAGTCCAGTTTTGTGGCTGATATAGAAGTTAAATTTGTTTCTCACTTCCATTAGTATCCTCTAGAATGCATGCTGCCTTTGGAGTTTCGGTTAGACCTGGTATCTCTGCTTGGAACCAGTCTGGAGAACATGACTGTTAACTTTGAGTGCCAGGGCCTCGCACTGCTGGTTAACAATGTTGAGCTGCTGTGGTGCTGTGTTGGGGCTGAAATCACTTGGCAGCAGGTGTATTGACATGTACTACTGTTTATAAGGAAAGGCAGGGATATCCTGGTTGCATTCAGGGGTAATCATGGATCATTGTGTGTGAGGAAAAGGGGTAAGAAAAGACTGATGTAAAAGCCTTTATACTAGCTGTACAGCAATTGTAGTTGCAGAGTGGTGCACAATGTTTAACTTGTATACACTGTTGGACTAAAGTTACCCTTTAAAATATTAAGACCTGTGAACAACCAATGATGTGAAACTATATTTGTATTTTAGGTCATGAAGCCACCACAATTTTTAATTTGTTTTGGGCATCCTAGTACTAGGCTTAGCACCTCATGGGACCGAAGTCTTAAAACATCTTTTTGTAAAAGGTGTATCTAAATCTTAAATTTAGAAAAGAGATTTGAAGAATACATTTGAAGTGGTGTATAGCAGCACAGGTAGAGCTAACTTCCTTACTTTTTTTTCCCCCCTTTGGTCAAAATGAGGATAATTAAAAAGAAAAAAATATCCCTCTTTATTGTTGCTGAAGGCAGATAGCAAGCCTAATCTAAGTTTCTGCGGGAATCTTGAGCATTTCCACTTGCACAGGATTCTAAAGAAATAATAGATCTAGAAACTAGCGTGAATATTGGTACAGACCTTTGCTTATCATAGTTTTTACCCTTCTAGATTTCATAGAACTTTGGGTCAATAATTTAATATGTCCAAACATGTTTTGGTAAAGTTTATAGGTAGAATTCTATTTATAATGTATAAATTCCAAATGAATGTCTGATTTGTGAGCCACTATTAGACTGAAGTATAAAGAAAAAACAGCCAAAGAACCAAGCAACCAACAAAAACGACCACCACCCCCCAAAAAAATCCCTACCCAATGCTGAAATCCCTTCAGAAAAAACAGTTAGTGTGTTTCTTCAGCCAAAAAAGCTTCTCAAACAGTTACCACAGACAAGTGTAATTTGGAATTGGTGGTTTAATAATAGTAGTTGTTTGGGTGAACAGTGATTCCCAATTCTTTACAGAAGATCAGTCCTATAAAATGCAGCCACAGGCTGCTGCTGAGAAAAAAACTCAATTAAGAAAGGAAATTAGTCTGGCAATTAAAAAAGCCACAGCAGTGTCTGGAAAAATGGTTGGTGTTGTTTTTTGGGTTTTTTTTTGTGGTGTTTTTTTTTTTTTTTTTTTTTTTTTTGTCCTGAAAGAAAATTGATGAGATCATTTTGTCTAGAAGAAACCCAGAAGTCAGGGTACTGGAACAGACTGTTAGTGCTTTTTGTAAATTGTGAATGAAGCATGGGTATCTGTGAAGAGGAGAGAGTTTAACTTTCGGTAGTTTATTGCCAGAACTGTTAATATGGTTGTCATGACTGCTTTAATACTATCAAGTCAAGGGGACAGCTGTTCCAGCCACACTGTTGGCAAATTTGTTTGGTGTGATACCTAATTTTTAAAGTGACAGTAAGAGACTGAGATAATCACACTTCACTGTCCTCCTTGATTTAACTATGTGAAATACGGTTTCTCATTTAACGTTAGTACATAATTTAGGATACATTGAAACACTACAGCAGCTTAGGAGACTTAAGCCCTCCTGCCAGTCAGAAAAGAATTTCATTCACAGCAGGTAAAGGATTTACTTTGCATATGTTGATATTAGTCACATTTTTATGTTCTACTTCCACAAAGCGTTTGCTCATGGCCAGTTAGGTTTTGAACCCAGTTGGTACTAGCTGGTTCATTCAGCATCATGGGGCATTCCCAAGGCATAACAGACTGACACAACAAAGACTTGACACTGTAAGGGACAACATTCTGTTCCTGTAGGACTTACGGTGTAAGTTATGACTTAATGCTGCAAAGGCAAATTTAAATTCAGTGAAAATCCTTCTGAAAAGGGTTATAAGGTTAGATTTCACCTCATCACAGATCCTACTCAGGAAGTGTGAAGTTGGAGAAGAAGAATTGTTGAAGAACTGAATCCCAGATAATGAGGATGTTAATTGTCCTAGGAATTAATCAGCTGAGTAGAACATGGCAATTGTTTTGAAGCCAGACCAGGGTGAATAAGTAATGTCACTGTTTTATTGCCATACATTTGTTTCCAAGCCCCATATTTTTATGAATAAGCAAAACTATGAATGAATGGTCTGTACTTTTATCATGAATCTTGTATATAAGAGCAATTTCTTAAGACATTGAGAGCACCAGACATTGCCTACCACAGAGAATGGGAATTCCAAGAAGGTTGTTTCACAGTGCCAGATACCCTAACAGAAGGTTGGGGTTCCCAAGATTATGACTGATCTTTGGTGGTCCTAAGTGAAAATTCAATTATATAATATATTTTATACTTAGATTAAACCCGTATGGAATAATTGTTGAAGTGAAAAAATTATTCTCTTCAGTCACTGTATTAAGGTGCTATACTGACACCTCAGGGATACAGCAGAGGTTTTCTGTAGGGCTGCGAGCATGTTCATGCAGTTGTTTCCCACTTGCAGACAGGTGATGATAGCTTTGTTTTGTCATAAGAACTGTATGGTTTTTTAAATCTTAGCCTCACACACTGCTCTTAGAGTGTTTGAGCTAATAACAAAGCATAAAGAGCTATTGTTGTTGGGGTCACTTGTGGTATTATAGTAAAAACCAAATGCTGAATGCACAAAAAAAGGGGAAATCCATTTAACAGATTAAAACATTAGTCTTTGTAAAAGAAAGAAAGGAAGGAACTGATGTATGAATTCTTAATCTTCTGTGCATGGTTTGTAGTGTCCTTTGAGTCTGATGCTCAGTCAGTGTGAGTAGTTTGAAGATCAATTAACAGCACAAACTTGTTCCTGTGCTATTCTGACTAAATCACTGCTTTCCAAATATTATCTTGTGCACCTATGGGTGTCTGTATATACATATAGCTCTGTGTGTGGAAGAAGGACACAATCTGAAGTGTAAGAAGAGATTGCTTTTCTCCTTTTGCTAGATGTGTGAGAGCACAGCAAAGTTAGGTATTTTCTGTTTGCCTAGACCCGTTCTCCATAAGTAAGGAGATTTCACAGCATGTGTATGTAAGGATTTTTCTGCACTGTGAGTGTTATAGGGTTTTAGGATGTCATGCCATGGAACAAATAGCAGTCTCAATGTAATATATTTCAAGACTGGTTCTCTGTTGACAAGTTTTTGTTGTGGATTTATTTCTGCCTTTTTTCCTCTTTCTTTTGCGGAACGCTTTTAATTGCATTGGCACCAAATATTACCTCAATACTAGTCAAACTCAATTGGTAGTAAGAAGTCAAATCAATGTCACAAGCATTTACTAGCATACAGTATGGTTCAAAGAAAGCTAATTCCAGCAGACACTGAATAAAAATTTCAAAGGCACTTTCCATGATCAGGAAAGGCTTAGGTTAAGTTTAATTGAGAATCATTTTACATCTCACTTGAGAGTGGAATTTGGCTTTGGCATTTATATTTCATAGCAGCTTTAATGGTCAAATGTTGCCCCCTCTCATGTTCTGCTCAAATACATTTCATGTGGAATAACTTCTAATATCCTCCAAATTAACTGTGAACAAAATTACTTGACTCTTCTTTCTGGTTTCTTTTTCCAGAAAAGCAAATTACTTAGACTGATATGTTTTATTTCAAGATGCTTGTGGTTCACATTGCACCACAGTGCTAGTACTGATAAGGCATTTCTGCTTAGTGGAAATCTCAGTTTCTGATATTCAAGAGATTTTGTTTTTACCATTAATAAAGACAATGAGTACTGAGTAGTTATTCAAATATTCTGTTGTAGGTATGAAAGTGGAGATTAAACTGGAAATAATAAAATTGCAAATGCAGTATTTTTTAAAAAGGCAAAAATTACTGTGTTGCTTCAACATATAGTATACATTGCCAGAGCTCTATTTGAGTCATTTTAGTGATTACTAATTAAGGTTTTTTTGTTGTGTTGTTTTGTTTTGGTTTTTTTAAAGAAAAACCTATTCAGAAGAGAGGTTTGAGATAATGAGAGGACATCATTAGTACTTTCATACTTTTTGATAGTGTTTTTCAAACATTTTTAGAGATGTTATGAGACACTGAATGTAGTATGTTTCTTAAATGATCCTCGCTTACTTTTTTCTTTCCTTTTCTTATAGTTTCTGTAGATCTCAGTTGCTTCTTTTCATGTTTCTCTCTTTCTTGCAATCTCCAATTCCTAGAGCTGCTTTTAATGAAAGTAGGGGCAAGAAGAAGCTAAAGGAATTGGGTGTCTTCTTGAAGCAAACTTACATGGCATGTCTAAGTTTATTGTCTTAGTATGTTTATTTTGCTTGTAGGGCATGGCAGGAAGTTTCATTTTTTCCTGAAATCTTAACAGGCAAAGGAGGGGATAAAGCAGCTAACTTCTTTTTTTAATGCTCAAACTTTGGTATTGCTACCACACTGGAGAAAAACACACATGGAGAAACGTTATAGCAGTTGCTTTACTCTTCTCTTCCTGATCATCTGAAGACTTAGTATTTTTTCACTAGAATTAACGAGACTTATCAGTTCCCCACATATATTTTATAGAAATAGTTCTTTGCAAAGAACGCAAGTTACCTTCAAGCAGTGTTTGTGATCAGTAGGAATCTCTCTGCGAAGGAATGAAATTTTCAGGTGTTATAAATAGCAGTGACATAATTTTTTCTCCCATGGGCTTATGTCAACTTTAAGTTTTCATTTTTATGTAATTTATATTTTTCAGAATTGAAGCACAGTGGGGTTTTTTGCCTTGTAACACTTCAGGAACCCACAGTCTCAATTTTAGAGCAATAAGGAAAGAGCATGTATGGTACATTTACACTGCTGCTATGTACATGTATACAATCCAAATCAAAAAATTATGGAGCTAGTGGTTTTGTGAAAGGCAACTGTGGAATGCTTTCTGCATCTTGCTAACTTCCATACCCTACTGAGCATAGCTCAGCACTTAGAGCCAAGTTCTGCCCTCTGATGCACATGCTTGGCTCTTGTTTCTATCTAAGACATGTGCATCTGAGATCAATACTTGGCTTTTCTTTCAAACAGACAAATAAAGAATGAGTAATGCATGCATGTTGCAAATTGAGCAAAATGGTACAAGTAAAATTGCATATTTAAGAATAAATTTTTTTTCCTTTGGAGCATTTGGTAAAACTCTATCATTCGTTTCTTGCTTCTTACTGTTTCAGTCCTGTGCAGGCTAAGAGTTTAACTTGTGCAGCTTTTGTTGCTTATGACCTCATACCTGAGAAGTTAATATTAATTTAGATTGTCACATTATCAATAATAAACAATCTTGATCTGGGTTCATTTGTGCATTTTTCCATCTGTGTTCTGTTTTTTAGGGGAAAACATATTTAAAAGAAGGTAATTTTATTATTCTCTTGTTTTTTTCTTTATTTTGAACTGTATGGTCCACATTACTGATATGCATATATATGTATATGCATGCTCAGTGGCTTACAATGGCTCAGCAGTGGAGCTTGCCATTAGACTCAGAGGCTTTTACTTTCTCTGTTCTGCAAACTGTCCTTCACTAAGATTTTGTGCAATGTTGTTTTTCTACATTCTCTAGTGACACTGAAATGACCTTCAACCAGCACGTAGGATGGGTCTGCTGCCATGGCAGGGCGAGGTGCAAAATAGGATGGCTGCTCTTGCTTGGCAGAGGGCTGAGACAGGAGGTGGAGGAGACAGATTTCTCTCAACAGCAGTTCTACTTTTCCTCATAGAAAACAAGCCAGGCTAGGTAGAACCACAGACTGAATTCAGTCCACAGGAGATCAATTGGACCATGCTGCTAAACCTCAGGAGTTACGCAAGCTGAACATTGTAAAGGGTGTATATTCTAGAGATTTACTGGCATTGCTGGCCAAATGTCTGGAAATGACAGTTGCTATACAGCATTATACTCACAAGAAGAAATGTATAAATTGTCAAGAAAGCAGAAGGAATATGAACAAATTTGCCTGCTTTTAAAATATATTCTTTTTCCCCCTTCTCCCTTGCTCCTCTCCCTCTCCCCCCTTGTCCCCACTCCTACTCTCTCAGCCATGAAGATTTTGAATTTATATCGGGGACCCGCATGCGCAAGCTGGCTCGAGAAGGACAAAACCCGCCGGAAGGCTTCATGGCTCCTAAGGCTTGGACTGTGCTGACAGAATACTACAAATCCTTGGAGAAGGTTTAGGCCTCTTATTAACTGCAGATCAACCTTTGACGCCTGATTTATTTACGAGAAGGGGACCACACAGTCACCGTTCATGTTGCTTTGTTGTGGTGTCTGTCAGGAAGTTCTTCTCTGAAAACAGACTCTTTCTCCCTAACTTAGCATCATTCTTTGCCTGTCCTTATGGGTTCTATTATGTCCTGGCACCTAACTAGCTGCTGGTTTTAATGTCTTCTCTTTTATTACAGTTAATATTCTTGCAGTAGGATTTTTAACTCTTGTGTTTTTTTATATTTTACTGCCTCTGTCCTATGAGTTCTGCAGCTGTTAAATAGATGCAGCTTTTTTCATATGTTATTTAAACTGCTGGGTAGTGTCTGGTTTTAGTAGTTTGTAGGAGAAAATGTAATGGTTAGACTCCTAACTATGGATAGATTATCTATAAATTGAAAAAGTAAATGATTTCTGAAACATCCGTAAAAGTGTCCTCATCTTTATCTCACTATTATCTCCAGAAGCACTTAACATTAATTTCTCACTATATGTAATCAAAAAACAGAGTTTTTTACATAGCATAATTAATCTTTTTTGCTTTCTTTGTTTAACTTTGGAGTTCGTTGAGTTGTCCAGTGATTCTTTTCTGCTTTGGACATATAAAGATGGCCAAGTAATGAATAAAAGAAAATATCTAGTTTTCACTTTGCATTGATAACTAATCCAGGTTTTTTTTTTTTTTTTGTATATGCTTGTTGCTGTAGGTGTCAGTAGGGAATGTTTTATTTCATTTGATAATTAATTTGATTATTTCATTTCTGAAAACCAGTTGTTGGTTCCAGATATACTTGTTCAGCCTACTACATCTATAAAAAAAGTATGGCAGACCAACCTTGAATTCATGTTTAATTATTTCAAGAAAAATAAAAAAATTCTTAGATCTTGGCATTTCCTGTGGTACAAATGCTTAGTCCTGAGGTTAATTTTCTGGCTGTTTTTCAAGGTCTCCATAGAGTAATCTCCTTCTCTTTGTTCAACTTCGCTTGCTTGAAAGACAAAGCACATGTTGTTCTTCTAGGATTTTTTTCAAAAATCCTGAAGCTGGTTAATTCACTGTGTGAAACAATAACTGCTAAAGGAAAACATAAAAAATGGAAAGTAAACCTCTTATTTAAATGTAAAGTAACACTGACCTATTGGGATCTGTTCAAGCATTTGCAGGTAATTAGTGGAACAGTCATAACCCCTTTTAGTCTATTAGCTAGAAACCATCTCATATCCTCACAACTTACAGAAACTTACTTTTCTGTTGTTAAACAGTGTATCTAGGAGGAACCAGCTCAAAATTGTTCTTAGAATATTGATATGGGCCTGCTGCTGAGCCTGGGTGAAGCATGTGTTCATCTACACTTTTTTGGGCAGACGGAAAGTTGTGATGGGGGGACCTGAGTAATGAATGGGACAAATGCTGCTTGCAATCTTTGTTTACTTATTCACAGTAGTATTTAAGACAAATGCTCTGAGAATTACTTTATTTTCTCTTCTTCATCTGTAGAAAGTATCTTTTAATGGGGTTCTTACCTCTGATAGAAAGTAAGGGAGAATTGGGAAAGGATAAGAGGCATGTTTATTAGTGAACCACAATTACTTGAGACTGTTTTGGTAGTGTAAAGTTTATTTCTTCACAATTGTTGAGCAGATTTTCTTTAAACTTGGCTTTCTTTTTAGATTGTATCAATATGTAGGTTGTGCGAAATTCAGAAGAAAGAATCAGTTCATCTGTGTGCAGCTGTTCATGCAAAACTTCAAGTTTAACTATGAAGGTGAACAAGAGTTATCAGCTGCTAAAATGGAATTTGCTGCTGAAAGTTGGGAATTTGGACTCTTTGCTGTCAGGTTTGATTCTTCTGCTAGCTATGATGAAAGATAATAAAAATATTTTGGCAGAATGACAAACACACGTGAAAGTCTACAGAAGTTAATGTTTTAAAAATGCTATGTGTGCTATATGAAGTCCAGAAAATAAGTCGGAGTGGTGAGCATGAATGTAAATCATCCTGTAATGTTAATTTAGAAGCAGGAATGCCTTCAAGCAAATTAATACAGTGATAACAAGCAGATCTAGTTTTTATACTTAACTGGTTTGATGCTGAGGCCTTGTTGTTATAATGCTTCTGGAAAGCATTCCTTCCAAGGCTCTGTATTAAAGAATCCTTCAGGTTTATGCTGACTTTAAGCCAACAGCCACAGCATTCTCAGCATAATGCTGATTAAGAACAGGAGCATCTTGTCAATTTGTGGGCAGGACTTGCTCTATACAACAATATTTTCCTGTATCATGTGAGTTTTCACTGTAGAGTTCAAATTTTCCCTCTTGTCTGCAGCTGCCTTATTTAAGGAAGCTGTACTTACAGGAAAGGGCTACCCCAAAAAATTATTCTTTTGTCAGTGTCTCTCTTTTAGCTTTTCTCTGCCATATCTCAGTGGATAGAATTGTCAATTGGACAGTCCTGACATTCGATTTTTAACAAAGGTTTAACTTCATTAAGGGTGTTATGGCATTTGAGGTTCTTCTGAGACAACAGTTGGGTGTCTTTCAGGAGGCAGCACCAGGACTAATAAGGTAATGGTGGTTGCACCCAACACTTGTCTTCCCACATCTGCTCTGTCACCAAAGAGCAATGATCTTAGGAACATGCCATACAAAAGTAGTAATAATCTTGAACCATGTGATGGATATGAAGACAATCAGGACCTAACTTTCCAGCTGGTAAAATAAAAAGCTGCATTGTCTCATTTATTCAGTTCCTGAAACAACTCTTTTTAAACTGGAATAATATTGATATGTACATGAATCATGAATTTAAGCAGTTATATATGTGTGTTCTTTTCTTATGAAGAACAGTGAATATGTCCTTTTTCTAAAGGTCAATTTTCTTTAACAATCAGGAGTTTTACTCTGTTCGTTAAGATGAAAAATGTCAAAAAGTGTTCCCCCTGCCTTCCACTTTCTGTCTTTACATCGATCTACCTTATAAATGGTTCTTTACTTGTTACTCTTGCACAGGATAATTTATGGCTATTATCCTGTGCTTTTTGTACAGTCTCAGGATGATTATTCACTTCCAGCTGATCATTCTCATGTGTTGGGAATGTGATGTATGAAAGTAATAACACCCTCAGTCCGTATGGCTGATACAAGGACAATCTGGACCCAGCTTTCCAAAATACAAGGATTAATGAAGTAGGTAGAGATTACCAAACCCTAATAGTTAAATAAATGGTACAAAATTATTGCCTCTCCTAGGTGAAGTGATTAATTCCACATGATGGATTCCTGCAGTACCTATGAGCAACTTAAGAAAAAAGGCAAGTTTTTTGTAAAGGATCTTATGCTTGAGAATTCTGTTTTCTTACGTGAGCTCCTGTATGCCTGTTTTTGACTAACAGTAATATTCAGGGTAACTTAAACTAATGATCTACAGCTTGTGATGGAAAAGTAGTAGATGAATGCTGAGGATGCTGACTTCTGTCTGATTTTTTTCCTTTCAATAGGGGATCTGAGCACTAACAACTCGGTAATACATCAGCAATGCGAAATGGAAAATGTAGACTAGGTCACAGGGTTTTTTTAGATGCAGTTTGGAGCTAACCAAGCTTCTACATCTGGAATAATTCATTAGAAGTCGTGGGGGGAAGGATATGAGTGGATGTCTTGGCATGGTGGTGGTGGAAATAGAACAGGGCTACCATGAGCTGTGTAGCCAATACTGTAATTGGCTTGAGTTTGGTCTTCTCTTGCATTTTTTATTTCCTTAATTTCAGAAAGTTCCACAGGTGGGTTACACACAGGGTTCGACTTACTGCCTTTCTATACTACAAAAAGAATAAAAGTTACTTTGAGCACCCTGACCAAATACTAACAGAGTAGTCCAGATCCGTTTCCCTTCCTGACGGATTAAAGATGCTAATCAATGTATTGTTCCCTTTCCCTGTAGACACTGACAGTTTCAAAAACGTGTGTGTGTGTGTGTTACTTTCAGTATTTGCACACATGGTATCCCTTGTATCTCTGGTTGTCAATTTTAAAGGTTCTTTGCTAGGCACTGTAGGAACACAGAAAAAAAGCTCTCATCTCTGCTTCCCTGTGGGTCAGAAGATAAGTTTTCTGTATCTATGGCACCATCTCCAAAAAGAAGGAAAGGGAAAACTATTCTTTCACTTAATATAGGACAATTCACAGTAGAAAATAAGATGGAAACTGAATCTTCATTTAACTTTGCATACGTGTCTGTTTATCTAACTGTAGGAACAGGATTTACTGTGGTGCTTGAACACTAGTGAGAAATGTGTAGGAATGGTATTCTGCTCCTCAAATGTAACACGCAATCCTCCACCACCACTCATAAAATAATAGGGTCTTCAGCCTGGAGTTGGCTGAATTAAATGCTAGAATGAAAGCAACTGATAGCTCAGAATTAGTACTTTGTTGTTCTTTATGAACTGATCTCGGAAACTTGCTTATTAAAGCACCTGATTTAGATGCCATTAAAAAGGAGAGTGACACTAGTTCCATTTTTCTCATGGTTAGAGTTTTTTTACAAGATGGAGCTGAGAAGCTAAATTGCCAAGGGTAAGTTGGAAGTCTTCAATGGCCAAGTCATTGGATATGAGAGTTCCTTGCCAGCAGCCAGTCAGGTGTCAGGTAAACATGTGATTTAAAGGAAGACTGTGTTGAGGTGTCTGCTCAGTTGTGCTGTTTTACGTTGCAGAAAGTCTGAGGGCTGGAATAGCAGGGCCTCTTTTAAGTTTGCTTTCTCATTTCACAAAAAAACGTTTTGATTATGAATATAGCTGGATTTTTTACTAGGCTTTTGAAGTCCATTGAAGGGTTTTCTTTGTGTCTCCAGCAAGCTCTGTGTTTGCTCTTGTGGTATTAGGATTTTTATTTTTTTTTTTACCTGTATCGGTTTTCATTATTTAGTCTTTATTAAAATAACTTTTTTCTTCTTTATGGGAAGATATATATGTGCATGAGCCAGAATCATGCCTTCAACATTTCCAGAGCTGTTTGCCCTAGAAACCTCATCTTGATATCATTTTGAAGTTGAGGGGGGAAGGCAACTACACTGAAAGCTAGAAAGCACGGCTTTAAAGCCACATCTGGAATTCTTAGACAGTAAACGGCTCCAACTTAAAACAGAGAATACAGAGATTTTATATGCCATAAAACTCAAGGAGCCTTGGATTTGGTATAAGGACTGTCACCTGACCTTCATGTTAAAATCCATCTACACAATGCTTTGAAGTATGATTGTAGTCAGAAAGCTACCTGTCTATGTATAAAAGGAGAGGAAAAAAAAAAATAAAATCAGTTTCAGTATAAACTTCAGTGGGGTGTAGGAGTAGTGCCCAATTCTTGCTTTTATCCCATGCAAGCAAAGCTGTTTTTTCTGTGGAATCCTACACTCATCACTCTAATTGCATTGTATGAGAAGAATACAAATATTTTGGCTGTATCCACTTATTTTAATCTCATAACAGCAGTTATGATTGTAAGTAAAAGATTTGCAGTCTAAGCTGTGAGTTTTCAGCTTTTGCTGAACACCTTTAGATCTACAGGCTTTTCACCCAGATGACCTATCTCTGGAATTTTTTGGTCTGAATCAATTATTTCTGTAATGATTGATAGTAAAGTTTATTGCAATAATTGTGATGAGACACACCAGTATCCTCGTGTTAATATTCCCTGAACACTGTTGCTGTGTCATTTATTACAAAACATGACATTTTGTTTAGGAGGACAAACTCACTCCTCTAACATATAAACATTTATCTGATTTCAGGAGTGCTCCTCAGAGAAAGAGAAAACATTTAGGCTTTTGTATTGTTGATTTGATTTCATCAACAGCTTTCTCAGAGGCTTAAGTGGAAGCAGAAGAGACTCCTTAACCCTTAAACATTGGGTTCAAATGGGTTGCCTCTTATAGAATGGAAAACTGCAGCCAGATAGTCCATGGAAGGTTATTTACAGGATTGCTTATGTGTCATTGAGTTCTGCCTTGCTTACATTTCATCTACTACCTGTGAAAAAAAATATTTTGATTATTTGAATCAGTTGTTTCCAGACAATGAAAAAAAACGTGAGACAAGATCATGTCTAAGCATAACTTTCCACTGGGAAAAAGTTTAGCACTATTATAGTTTATATTTAAACAAGGATATGGACTGAAAGGTCCAGTGCTATAATTACATGAGCAAAAATTTCCTATCATACTATGTGACAGCAGAGCAATAAACATGCCATCCGAGTCAACATCAGAAGTAGAGTGCAAAACGCTAAGTATTTTTGACATTTATTCATTAGAGGCAGTTATAAATAACTCCTTTGTTCATTATTTCTTCAAGGAAAAATACTGCTTCTTTCTGAAAACTGAAAATCTGATTGCCTTACTTGGTAGTTAGAGACACTCAGAATGGCAGTGATTCTTCATAGTTTTTACTGTTTTGCTGTGAGTATTTTTAAATACATACACACTTCTGAGCTCCACAATGAAGTGGCTTTGCAAAAAACACTTTTTTTTTCCTTTGTAAATATTCTTGACTATTTTACTTAGAGTAGTTAGGTTATTTTTTCCTCTGTACAAAGAAGAAAAAAAGGTCTCATAAAAGTCAACCTTATGTAGAGATGGAGTACAGAATTTCATCAATTATTAAAACAACTTTAGCTGGTTTCCTTTTCATACACGATTTTGGTTCAGGGGTATCCTTCATTTATGTTGTGAGGATTTCTTGTCAAATACTTCCTGTGCTGCAGAATAGCGTATTTAAAGATGGTGAGTTGATGGTGGAGAATTCCAGGATAGCCTCATTCAAGCACTAACAATAAAAGACCACATCTTGTAATATGTATTTCTTTCAAAAGAATATTGTGCCTTTTCTATAATCATAGTTGGGATTATATAAATGCAAATTCAAACCAGCATGTTCTGTCTAAAAGATGTGCAGAAAGAAATGAACATTCTTCAGTCAGTGGTTTTCTAGAAAAAAAAAAAAAAAGCTTCCTTCTCACATTTTTAATGTACTTGAAAACCAAAACATAAATGTCCTGATCTTTCCATTTCCATACTTAAAAGCTGTGTCTTGATGGGCGGCCAATCTGTTTTTTCTCTCTTATTTGAACAGTTGCAATGTCTTCAGTTTGAAGATTTGCTGAATATTGGAAATAAACTGAAAATCATGGTCTCTCTAGAGCAATCCTACACTAGATAGTTTGAAATAAGCAAACTCATCTTTTCATTTAGACTTACTTAATAGACTTTTTTTCACCTGTATGTAACTTGCAACAACTCCTCATTTCAGCTTTTTCTATGTAACTGTGTAACTAATGACAGAAAATTCAGCCTCTTTACCCATTCCTAGTTTGATTATTATCCTACATGTGTCTGTAGATCATGAAACTAATGCGAAGGAAGTATATGCCTTTCCCCATTGATTTAGTGATGTTAACTCTGGAAGACTTCATTGATGTTTATCAATGTGAACTTGAAGAAAGATGCGGCTGCCTGTGGAGAAATGAATCTGACTGTGTTGAGAGCCTTCAGAGCATGTGCTAACTCTCCTCTATTTAAGTCTGTGGCTGAATGTTGGAATACACAGAGCCTTTTATTTTGACAGAAAAGGGGTAAGTCACTGTTTTCTTAAATGTGATACAATGGGAGTTCCTAAAGAAATAGACTTATCTTAGCTAGCCAAATAAAGACAAAAATGTAAACTAGGGGCTTTTTAGCCAGTGGCTTACAAAATGATCAGTACAAATTAAAGAAGGCATAACCACTAAAACCCAGAGATTTGTGCCTGTATATCCCCAGAGAGACCACCACTAATGTGAAGAATTCCAGCATTGAAGAGGATTTTCTGCAGTATTGATTTATTATGCATTTCGTGATTCCTGTGTAATTTTCAATATCTGCTCAAAATCCATGTGCAGCTTTAATAAAATACGTGCTCATAGTACATTCTACTGTTGTATCTTTTCCTTCCCTTTATCATAAAATACTCTGTTATTGTTTTAGGCTGAAAATTTTCTCAACCTGTGTGTGCCAAGGGAAGCATTGCAGTTTATGAGGGAACTCATGCAATTTACAGTATTATCAGGCAGCTGTGAAAACTAAGAAAGAAGGGACTAGAGAGTGTTCTGTGACCAATGGAGTTTCTGATTTTGGTCAGGGCCAGTATAACACGGGCCTACAATCTTTTTTGGCTTTGCAGATGAATACAGGTATGTTGGATTTCTTTGGTTGTTTTACTCTTTTACCAAACATTAGTCAGCCAGTAATCTTATTGTTTAGTTATCTTCTGAGCTTCATTTAACGTTAGTCTGTGAGCCTTTCCGGGAAGTGCAGCTCACAAGTTTATAACCATTGCTCTGGAATAACAATAAGTTTTCATGAACTTTGTCTATATAAAATTACAAAGTGCAGAAACATTTAAAGAAACAAAAGTAAAGGAAAAGGAAAGAATATAAGAAGATTATAAAAGGAGTAGGCAGAGTTTAAGGTGTTAACATGTTTGCATTTAAGCCAAACTCCATTTTACATCTACCACGTACCAGAAAGTTGATGGTGTATGTTGGCTCTCTGGGTTTGTACATTACCACAAATGCAGGTAAGAACCCAGTGACAGCTAAGACAACAGCTCCAAACCAGCCAAGGCTTAGAAGTCAAACATCTGAAGGAAAGACTACTCTTGCCCTCCAGTTAAATAAGTGGAGCAGAAGAAGAACTGAGACCCTGAACTTTGGGACTGGATATCTTGTACGTTAGATATGGAGTTGGAGCCAAGGCAAATACCACTACTTTATCTGGTGGAATGCTCATCTGGAATAGTGTTGTATACACAAAATGTTGAACCTTGTTGGTATAAGAAGAAATCATGTAGAGTACTAATGTTCTTCCACATTAGAATGTTCTTTCTCATTAGAAAAGCAAGCATTGTCTGCCATGTGGTTGCTACCTTAAACTTCGCTGCTTTGGGATTGTTTGTCTTGGGCCTCATGGCCTTCAACTTCCATACTTAAGATTTACCTGGACTCTCACTATCATTGTGGGGCTCCAGAAATTGATTCTCTTTGGACTCTCAGCTGCCTTCTCACTGTGGCAGTTGCTGGATCTCTTTCACAGCCAGATTTTTTGGGTTTCCTGAGCGTGCTTTTCAGTGAGCTTTGCTATTTTTACTATCTCTGAAGCATGTTTTCATCGTCTGTGGTTTAGGGTGTGGGTTTTTTTTTTTTGCTTGCCCCTTACATTTGTGGAGCTGAAAGCAACAGTTACTGTAGTATGAACCACAGTGTCCTGGTTCACCATTTCTCTATGCTTCTGCTGCTGCTTTTCATGTCACAGCTTCCAGCCAACAGCCTGCTTGCTGAGAAACAGAGAAAACCTTGCTGCTGTGCAAGTACTGTCCAGCAATAGCCAAAACAATGGTGTGTTACCAATACTGTTTTAGTCACAAATCAAAAACGCAGTGCCATATGGGCTGCTGTAAAGAAAGTTAACTCCATCCCAATTAAACCCAGTAAATCTCTCCTTCTGAACTGGAGCTGTGTAGGCTGGAGCAGCTGCAGCTCTCCAAATCCTGAGATTTTTCCATTTTGGGCAGAAGTAGTTCTTCTGACGTAGCCAGAAAGATGGTAAAGATAGTTGCAATTGCTTGTGACTGCTCTACTTCCGTATATTTCTATATTCTATCTATGGAACACCAAGTGACAATGTAAGTGTGAAGCCTGCTGAAAGGATTTGCTCCAGATATGAAAGTAGAGCGCCGTAGTTATTTGTGGAAGGTTTTTTATTCTTGTCATGATATATCACTTTGTTAGTACAATAATCAGAATGGGTTCTCCTCAAAAATGAGGAAAACCAGTACAAGGTAAAGTGATGTGGAAGCAACTGAAATTAAGCAAGTAGGGAGCTCTGATTTTCCTTTTCCCCTTGATGTGTCTTAATAGTACATATTTTATCTTTTATCTCCATTGTTCTATATTTTTTCTCTAATGCTTCCACGATGAGCAATATGGATCAAAGACATTAAATCTTGTTTGCTACTAATCTGACATAAGGGCCATGATTCTTAGGTATTTCCATTTAAAGCAATAACTAGCCATGGTAGTGAGGAAAGTCGCCTTGTTTGCAGTATGACACAATTAAGCCACATCTGGTAGTGATTAATTTGCAAAATGTTCGCAGAACTGTTCTAACACCATCCATGGTACTGATGCACAAACAGGGAAATAATCAAAAAGGCATATTTGTTACAGCTTCATTGGAAACAAAGAGCAAAAGAGAAGCCCACTATTCTCAAAATAGGAACACAGCAATCCTGCAATGAGTGGAGGGCATGGGGGAGTGTTAGAACTTTAAATCAGAGCAGACAAAATACTAAAGGAATTTAGTATTTTCACTAATATTGGTCTTAAGCAGGTTTCTTTATTAAAGAGCCGATTGCATAAAAGCTACAAGGTTAAACTTGTTCAAGGAACCAAGTATCACCATTTCCTGTTTTTAAACTGACTTCAATTATCCAAAAGCTACTATATTTGTTTTAATCAATAGCACTTTTAAATTGTAGGAGGATAGAAAAGTCACTTGAAAAGTGATAAGTTTCTTCATGCTTCAGATTTTTCTCTTGTCTCTGGTACCATGAGTGTTTTCAACCCAGCCTGAAACTATGAAGCTGAATCTTCAGATAGATGGTTATTGCACAGGAACACGTCTGTGAGCTCTGCCACAGTCTCTCTGTGGGCTGTTGACCTTGCACTAATTAGAAGATGGCATTCCCAATGGAATAACAGCACATCTGCCCTTATTGCTCATGCTCTGGGATTAATTTAATGGGTGCAGTGCAAAATGCTGAGTAGACTTCAGTGAGAACAGGCTGCTGTGGGAACAGCTGGCTTAGCATGTTCTTGCCTTGGTAGACTTTCAAGCAACTTGGACCTCCTTTCTGTGGCACTCACTGCTGGCAAATGCCCTCTTATGTTCAGAGGTGAATCTTGTCCCTGGAAAAGTAATTTTGTATGTGCAAACCAAGGGCATTGTGGTTTCACTGCAGGAGTCAGTACTTGATCTTTTCCTGACAGTGCTGAATAGGCCCTTCTGACTTGTATGTTAGAATGACTTAGCTGGAAGATTGGAATATTGTTGAAAACTTCAGTGTCTGCTGAGGGATTTCTTTTTCCCCTTCTATCCTATGTGGTAAAACTGAACATTCTCTGTAAAAATGTGTAGAAGAAGAAAAGTCTTCCCTTTGCAGAGTTCTGCTGAACAAGCAGGACTGTATTGGTCTTCTTCAGAATTAAATACCAGCCAGACCTGCTGTTCAGATGTGACATGCCTATTTGCATTTTCTCTGATCTTTTGCCTGAATAAAAAAGCAGGAACTGAATAGGATTTAATTATGGGCTTATTTAAGTTTTCTTTTATGCAGACAGTTGTGGAGTGTATATTTATCTGAGTCAAACTTTTGAAACGTGGTCCTTTCTGCTCTCCATTTTTGTCTTTTTAAGAAAGAGATATCTAGCCACTGATGTTTGCTCTGATGGTTTATTGTTTTTTGTTTTGATGCCTTTTGATGGAAGCCTACATTTAGTGTAATGACATCAGGCTATTTCTTCCATAAAGAAAATAATGAATTAAATTATTAATTTTTCTCTCACTATAAGCCCTAAGCAAAAATATTTGCATTTTTTTTCTGGGGCATGTAGTTTTATAGGGTTCTGTTTCATCTTGAGGAATTCTTATTTATCAGAGTGTGAAAGGCATAAAAATAGACTAGATTCATCTTTCTACTGTTTGATAGGATTTTCATTACTTCTCGAAAGAACTCACGAAATATAATTTTTATCCCTTCCGTTTTTTTGGTTTCTCTGGATTTATACTAAATGGTACTTTTCCTTATCACCCATAAACCAAACTGTTTTACTTGTGGCTTAACCAGTTCAATTAACATTAAAAACAGACACAAATCTTCAGCCATCTTGAGAAGATTTTTTTTTTTTTCCAAAATAAATTCGAATTAATTTTTCATGTTGTGATGATTTTCTCATTTACTGGGAATGTGCACTAGAAATGCTAGCCTGTTTCCACAGGACAACTTGTCTGATGGGTGAGGAAAATGTACTCAGCATGGTGAAATCATGTTACTACTTGGGTTTTATCTTAACTTATGTTCAGGAGGCTTGTTACTGATCCTTTCTAGCTTGCACTTCTGTAGAGTTCTAGTGCTAAGTGTTATTTAATAGGAGTCACATAATTAGAAATACAAGAGAGCTTTTTTAAAAAACCTCTGCCTGTAATATACAGATTTTTTTTTTATAATGAAGTGACAATTGGGAGACTTTTTTTTTCAATGTTCACATTCAAGAGATACAATGGTATTTGTAAGTGTTTGTGTATACATGTATAGATATATATATAGAGAGAGATGTGGAAAGAGAGAAAGTATCTTAACCACAACATATGTTTCTATTGAGTTTCATCTGTTTTCTTCAGTGACAAAGCCACATGATTATCCCTGTTGGGATTGCAGGCTAATACAGATATGGAAGAATGAGCTGGATGCCATATTGCTTAATCAGCCTAGTGGTGGTTAATCTAGTTGTTTTGTGCATAGGACAGATGCATAACCTCTGGCAGAAATAATATAACATGATTTTTCAGATCCTGACATTTTTTCTCTGCTGGCAGTTGGGAAAAATATATGTGCTATACAACGAAGCTTTGCATATTGGACGTCAGTAGTATGAAAATCAGTGAGGAAGAGCAAACAATATTTTTTTCAGTGTTGAAATGTGTCTTGAAGATTAAGGGAGTATACAAAATATTACTTTAAGCACTTTCAGGTTACTTCAGTTGTCAAAGTTGCCTAGAAAACCCTCCAAGGTCTTTTAATATTGTCATTAGAGAACAAAGTCAACATATAACACATAACGGAAGGTTTTTAGAGTTCAAGACTTCCCTGC